AGCCAACTGGTGAAATTTTTCAGTTTGAGACTGTGTGAGTGTGTATATTCTGCTGCTTGGGAAAATGGAGAGTGAGTGAGCCAGGGGAAAGGATGCTGCTTGCTTGTTAAGATGTGTGGCACCTGTTTATCCATTGAATTGAAATGGCATTTTGGTTATGAGCTCAAAGTCCAAGTGGCCATTTAAAAAAGGAGCTCATTAGAGGTGAGAGTCCCCACTTCACCCACCCTCAGTGAATAGCACATCTTCTGTGCTGCTTGCTCAGTACAAAGGTTTTATGTTACTTCTTATGGACAGATGCTTAATTGAAGCACCCTTCATTTTAATTAATAAAGGGGACCTGCTTCTTTGGTGGCAGTGCAGTGTGAAGCCCAGCGGCAGCTTTGGCCTCAGGGATTTTTAGCCCTCAGATGCTGGGGTTGAAAATGCTCCCACAGGATTGCTGATAGTCCCCTTTCAGGGAGCACATAACAACCAGGAGAATGTTGGGATGATTTTTTGTGGGAGTGTGTTTGGGTATCTATTCCGGGTTTGTAAAGAGATGGAGATTAAGGGCCCACGCTCTGAGGGAACTGTTATTTTTATGTTGATTTCAGTGGGACAAAGGTTGCTTCTCTCTCACCAAATCTTGACCAGTGAGGTCTTGGGAAGTAGGTCGTCTGGCCCTCGATCTCAGGCTTAAATTATTTACTTACAAGTGCAGAAAACAATTTTTGCTGGAACAGGATGTGTTGTTAAGCTGCCGAGGGAGTCTTGCTGTCTGTCAGCCTGGGAATGCTGCCTTTGTTAGCATCTACATGGGAGCTGAACTCTGAAATATCCACAAGCCTCCCACCTTTCCCCTTAAAGGACACTGAACATGCTGAGCTAAAATGTTATTACTTCTCTGTACAGTAAGTTAAACAACAATAAAGTCATTAACATTTCCAGCAGCAGGGAACATGTTTGTATTTCCACTCTCCTCATGGGATAAAGGCTGAGCTGAGCTGCCTTCCCTCAAGATGTTCCCATATTTTTTTCCTTATAGGCCAAGATCTGAAGTGGAAAGTTTCAGGAAAGAATGTTTAGGAGGAAATTAGCAATTCAAAGGATAAACCGTGTGAATGAGAGACCTCTTGACCTATATGCTGTGTTTGCTGCTGTTATATGTAGTAGAGAGCTGGAAATTCAACATCTGACATTACACTCTACTTCCTGTGACAGGTTTCTAATCCTGGGGGTTGCCTTTAGCCATGGAGGGTCAGCTGCAGTGTGAATTCCCTTGACGTTTGGGAGAGTTTTGGATATGGATTTGTATCAGGACGATTATAAACAAAAGCAGCAAAATTGGATGTGCACTGGTGGTCACCTTGCTTTTGGCTGGGATGGAGAAGAGGTGCTGCAGGAGCTGGGACACAGCCTCCAGCCAGCCAGGGATGCTGCTGCAGCAGGTCTGAAAAGCAGAGAGAGCACAGAGATCCCTGAGTGGAGCAGCGAGTTGTGTGACAGAGCTGAAGCAGAACTGGTTGAGCAAAGGCTATTCCAGCTGCCTTTTCCAGACTGCCTGGAGAGAAAGGAGTGGGACAGGCTCTCCAGTGCTGAATTTGTAACAGGTACAGCACATGTAAGGAGAGAAAAGAGGAAATTATTGTGGTTTTAATACACTTTAATGTCCAAGCATTGAACTGTTGAAATGTAACATCCAGATTTTTGGCTTTCTCAAACTAGAGGATCGTCAAGGTCTCATCTTGGTAGTGGCTTGGGTGCTGAAGTGTTTGGAGCTGTAACACAGCACTGTGGAACCTGTACTGCTTCATTTCTTAGGGTGTACTGAGAGCAGAGTCAAGTGTTGTGTGCTTTTCTTGGGGAAGGATGCAAAACAGCACTAATGAGGTTGTACCTGGTGCTTCTGAGGACTGATCTGATCACCTTTATGCCTGGAGTGCACCTGATCCAGCAAAGATCAAGTGAGAGACATCAGTGGAAGAGGTTTCCCTCCTTGCTGTGTGAGTGCAGTGCCCCAGTGCCTGCTCCATGGTGACTCCACAGCTGCTTCTTGCAGTGTCCACCTGTGGAAATTCTGCTCACCTGAGCCTTGATGTTTGCTCTGCTTGCACAGAAATGTGCCCAGGGGACCAGGCTCACTTTGTATCTGTTGGAATAGCCTGACCACGTTGTTCCCTGAGTCCTCCAAAGAAGGATCTCTCAACTCCTTTTCAAGTAGAGGCTTGGAGTAGGCTGTGGGGAAGATAGTTTTTGTTGTCTGCGCTTAAATCTGGTTTGTATGATGTTGAACCTTGGCTGTTGTGAGCTGAGTCTCCAGCACCAACATAAAGCAGAGTGTAGAAGGTGAATGGTGGTGTGGGAGAGGCAAAGTGGATCACGGGTTTGGCTCTTGAACCGGCATAGGCTTCAGGCAGTAGGAATTTAGCCAGGAAGCATCCACAAAATCTCTGCTTCACATGCTGCAGTGCCCAGACACAGAGCTCCACAGAAGCACTAAAGGAGGAGTGCCAGAACTGGAGCTGTTCTGTGTGCCTCAGCAGAGAAGCAGAGCAGATCCAAGAGCATTTCTCCTTGCTTGGTTCCAGTAATAGCAGGGAATTTGGCAAGAGGTCATATGGAGCTGCTGGCTTGCCTGCAGACGTGCCTCTCTGTCTGGTTGTGTGTCTCTCTCTCCCCCTGAATGTCCTCCTTTGTGCTGGCTGCTGTGCAGCTCAGTCAGTTCCACATTATCTGGGTTCTCTACCTCTGGGCTTTGTCTTTGCTGTTGCAGAGTGGCAAAGGGCAGCTGAGCCACTGTCCTCCAACATGCTCTAGTGATTGTGGCAGCAGGGTATTGCACAGGACACAACTGGGCAGTGCCCTTTGCCTGGCACCCAGCTTGTTCTGTGGCTGCTGCCTTGGACAGGCTTTAGTTCCTTGTGCCAACTGTGTCCTGATGGGCTTTGTCATCCCTGGAGGAGTTCAAGGAGCCCAGCACTCAGGAGGTGCAGCAATGGCTGTCCTTATTTCCAGGATGCTGGCAGGGGGTGTGGAAACCCTCCAGGACAAGGGTTACCCACGCCTATATCAGAAGTGCGCCTTCCCTGTGCATGCAGATGTGTCACTCAGCAAAATGCAGTCAGAACAGAGCCCATGACCTTCCCAGTATTGCTCCTGTTCTGCAGTGCTGATGGCAGGAGCAAGGGGCCAGACTGTGCTGGGAGGACTGAGAGCAGAGAGTCCCTGTGTGTGTTGTGTTGGAGGGCTGGTTGAACTCATCTGGCCAGCACACATCACTGCAGTTTCACTGCACTGTGCCACAGAAAAACCCAGGCCTCAGGATGGCAACTACAGTGAGACATCCCAGAACCTCACTGGCAAAAGCCATGGATTTCCCAGTCCCAGGAAAGAGCTCCGTGGCATTCATCTGTTAGAAGCTTTGAGGAAAAATAGCTTTCCACACCCTGACAATTGTATCTGGGCTAGATTGAGTGTCATTCAGAAGTCATTCAGAGGAACAGAGCCCAAATTGCACTGTATATGGTATTACCTTCTGTCAGAAATCTGTGCCCTTGGAGTTGGGTGTGGAGAATTTGCCCCAAGAGGCTGGGTGGCTTTGAAGATCCTGAAATTCGTAATTATTAATGTGGGTTTTATAATCCCCTCATAATCCCCTGCCTGCATGGGGAAAGGAGCAGGGATATGCAGCCTGCAGTGTTCATTGGTGCTAATGGGCAGGAGAGGGAGAGGACGAGACCTTGGATTGTCAGCCTGCTGGAGAGCTCAGCACAGACTGTTCTGCTGGAAAGGGAGAGAATTATGGCTGTAAACATCACTAAGAGATTTTAAAAAAATTATAACAGGATAATCTCTTAATGTGTCTAATTGAGGGGAGAGAGGCAGTGAAAGCTCAGGCTGGGGAGTGAGGGATGTGAGTGTCAGAGATGGGCAGTGTGCGCAGGGCGGGCGAGATTTCTCCTTACCTGTCTGTCCAGCGTGGCTGCTGCCAGTGCAGGATGTGCTGCCTGCTCCTGCCCTGCCAGGGCCAAGCAGGAAGATTCCCCCCAGCTGTCCAACTGAGCTGGGTGTGAAGGAGCCAACAGCCTTCTTCCATCAGCATCATTCATTCCCCTGAAAGCAGCCTCATCTCCACGCAGACATGAGCTCTCTCTGCTGGAGCAGGTGATTTTTACCTTCTAAAAGTAAGAAAGCAGTCACCAAGTTTTCTCTGAACTTTTATCTCATGGCTTTCCATAAAGCTGAGATGGTGCTGGCAATGAAATAAATCCTTGTTTTAGCTCATTTAGAGTCCAAACAACAAAATCCAGCAGCACTGTGACAGAGGTCACGTTTCTAATCTATAGAATAGTCAAGGGGCCACTGCTAACTGGCTTTACAGGTCATGCAGTTCAAAAATGGGGATAATGAAGGGAATTTTATAGCTCATAATGAGCAAAAACTCATAAAAAGCTAGCTCACAGCATGAGAAACATGAAGCTGACGCTCTAGGCAATTTGCCTTCTGAATATAAAAGGAAAAAATATGTTTGAAGATGTTGTCTGTTATGGGGATATGTCTGTTCTGGATTAAAATCTTAAAATCCGGATTTAAATTTTCTGAATTAAAATCTATACTGTATCACCTGCTAGGAAGAAAGTGAATATTATCTCAGCCAAAACTAGAACAATGGTCATGACAGTGAGATCCTCTCTCCCTTCCTTCAAACCATGGGCATCTTGTACAGTTCAAGAAACCCAACCCCTTCTAAAAGTGCAATATAATCTGTGGGACTTATGTATCAATACCATAAATTACAAACCAGGTGGAGAAAAAGAGTTGGATGTTTAGATGCAACAAGATAGCAACACAAGTAAAAGTACATTAAATTTAAAAATGCTTCCTTTTAGTCTCCAGCTGCCATGGAGGCAGCACTCCAGGCAGCTGGGAAGGGGGTCAGCTCTGTGAGGAGCTGCAAGCTGACCAAGGGACTCTAACACTGCTTTTCAGGTGCTCCATCCCCATGACCATCAGTTCTGATGCAGCCCCTGGTGATGCAGGAATGGCTCCATGTCCTCCCACGATGTCCTGAGTGGCACCTCCGGGACCAGGCACAGCACAGCAGCACTGCCCGCCCGCTGTCTCAGGTAAGAGCTGGCTCTGGGAGCCTTTCTCGTGGCAGCTTTTTGCAGAGGTTGCAGATTCCTGTGGGGCAAAGCAGGCCCTGGGTTGCTGGTGGCAGGGAAGGCTGTCAGCTCCAGCCCCCCGTCGGCTGCACTTAAGAAGAGTGTGCGCCCTCCTCCAGCACTCCAGCTGCAAAGTGTTTCCCGAAGTAGGGGAAGAGAGACAGCCTACAGAGCTGGATTTCAAGCCTCTTTCACAGTAAAGAACGAGAGGCTACTGTTAAGAACTCTTATCTATTTGGTTGGGCTTTTTTTTTCCTGGAAACTTGGAAGAATGTAAGCTTTTGGTGAAAGTTTTCTACTCTTCCTCATTGCAGAGAAGAGCTTGGAAATGGTGGATGCTGTAAGGGAGAGGAGGAATCTGACCTCTTACTAATCTAGTTATCTTGAGGGACAGATCTTGTCTCCTTCCCCCAGAGTCTCAGAGCCAGAGCCCTCTTCACCAGAGGAGCAGGAAGGTCTCTGGGGACCCCTGGGCAAATGGCAGAGCAGAGTGAAGAATAGAAAGGTGTGCTGAAACTGTCTGCAAAGCTGCCTGCACTCTGCACTGAGCTGTCATGAGGTGGTTTAGCACCTCTGGTGTGGGGAAATGCTGCCTGGGCTCTGCCAGGCTGTGGGTCCCTCTTTGCCTGTAGCTGTTGGTCCCAGGGTTACCTCTCCCCTGACTGGACACTGATGGACAGTGCCAAAAGTTCCCTTGGGCACTGGTCGTGTTCTTCCCAGGACAAACGGGGTCCCAGCTCTGCCTTTTCCTTTTTTTGCTGTGCTTCAAGCATAAAAAGCAAGGGCTGAGCCTGAAGTTTCTCCCTACTGTGGCTGACCATCAGCCTGGACCTGTTCTGCCTCAGGGAGCTGGGATCTGAGGAGGAAGGCAGAGCTGTCTCTGGAGAGGCTCCAGCATGCAAGAATGAGGCAGGGGGAGGCTCCTGGTGGCTGAGTCAGGGTTTCTTGGCCCCAGGGTGGCTGATACAATGCTGCTGCCAGGCCAGTGCTCGGGTGGCTGATAAACAGCCCCGCAAATGAAGTGAGGAGGGAGAGGGATAGAACAAGATAAGCAGGGAAAACCCTTCCTGACCTGCCTGAGCAATCCAAGCCTCTGTGAGGGGGTCAGAACCCTGTGAGATTTGCTGGGAGAGAGGAGGGGAGTTGGGAGCAGGAGCACTGTTAATGACAGCTCCCCTTGTCTGAAGGGGCTGCTGTTGCCACCTAGCAAACAGCCTCCTTCTCTTGTCCTTGCTAGTCCTGAAAGCTCTTGGCAGACTGCAGGCAACGCATCCTTAGCTGTGTCCTGGCCTCATTGAAGCCCCTTCCTCCAGTCTGGGAGCTGCTCTCCCATCTGTTGGCTCCAGGAGGTGCTGAGGAGAGGAGCTGTGCTGGTCCCAGAGGGAGGGACAGCACCCGTCAGATGTGCAGGCAGGAGAGAGAGGGAGAGATACTGGGAGCTTTTCTTTCCCTCCCTGTAGGTGGAAGAGAGCATGATAAAAATTTTGGGCGTCAGGACTGTGGGGGACACAAGAAGCCAGCCCAGAGCTTTTTGGCAAAAAGAAACTATTTGCACTTGGTCCAGGCTGGCATGAACATCTGCTGGTACCCAACACTGTGCTGAGGCACGTGGGGGACAACAAGGGCACCTTTGACTTTTTTGGGATTAGATCTCAAGATCTATTTGCCTTCTGGGTCACTGAGGCTTGATGGGATGATTTCCCAGATAAATCCCTTCCCTGGCAAACACTCCTGTATGTGCTCCAACATCTGAGCCAAGGTCTCTGCTGGTCATCCCACCACGTCCCCTTCGCCCTGCCCTTGCAGGGATGGATTTTCCCCAGTTCCCAGAGCAATGACCCTGCACACACCTGAAGCCCCACGTGGGGTTGCCCTGCAGTGGGCAGATCTCTGCCCGCCTTGTGCTTTGAGGGCAGCCAGGGGGTTGGGGCAGGTCGGAGGCTGTTGGAATGCCGCTGGACAAAGCTGGGATTGAGGCTGACTGTGAGACCGCCCCCCTGCACATTCCTGGGGGGTCAGTGCCCAGCTCTGCCGGGCACCCAGAGCCTGCCCCTGCCCTGCTGGGTGCTGCCGCTGGCACCCGGCGGGGCCGGAGGGATGCTCTCTCCTCCGGCGGAGCCCGGGGCACGTCTGGGATGCACTTGACACAGCCTGCGTGAGTGTTCTGCACCCAAAAATAAACCTGCTCCGGGGTGCAGGGGGGGTGGGGGTCCAGGCTGCCACTGCTGAGGCTCTGGGGAAGGGATGCTGAGAGGATGCTCAGAGGGAAAGCACTTATTTCTCCCTCTGCTCGCCTGCAGGGGTTTTGTTCTAGGGAAGCAGATGTTCAGCACCTGCTCTCTGCTTGGCCACTGCTACATGATTATCTATGGGGCTTGGGAGTTGCAGGCATGGTGGGCTTTTAACTCGTTAAATAAGACTGGGAGGACTGTGCTGTCTGCAGAGCTGTGCTGCAGTTGCACCCAGGTAGAGCTGATCCTTTCCTTTGGTATCCTCTGGGATAGAGAGGAGGGCTGGAGCATTCCCTGGCAGTGCCATGGGACTGACCTACTTCAGTGCCATGAGCACCTGCACATGCAGAGGATTGATTTTTCTATGTGCAAACAGCAGTTTTAGCTTGAGTGGATCATTATTCGTGGCCCTAAGAATCCTGTGAACTCTGTGGGTGATGGTTTTCTCTGTTTTTGTGGTGTTTCTGGAGTGGCAGGATGGGGAGGCAGAGAACAGCCTGTTAGATGTTTTTAGATGAATCAAACTTAGCACCAGTCTTGGCGATCATTTGATTTTTCTCTGAGAACTGGTGTGGAGGGGGTATTTTTAGCTGTGCAGCCAAATTCCTTGTCTGGTTGTTTTCTCCTGCCTGTTGTTTTCCTCGGCTTGGCTGAATTGCTTCTCCAGACACCTCCACGAACCCTTGGACAGCACAAGTGACAAGTAGCTACACATTCCCCTTGGAAGAGCTGCTGCTTTTCCCCCAGAGGCAGCTGCCCTTATCTGGCCTGTTGTATGCTGTTTAGAAAGTACTAACACATTTAATTATGGTTGATTAAGCACCTGGGGATAATTATCTCAAGCAGGCTCTAATATCAAAGCAGCATTCGATCGAAATGCTGCCATTTCTCCAACACAGCTCATTGATGTCTCACTTATGGGAAAGTGTCCGTGTGTTTTGCTCAACAAACTGTGATTTATGGAGAGAAAAACCCCTCTCACTGAGTCCTGTGTCAGGGGCTTCTGATCCTCTGTGTTGCTGTCACCAGCACATGCAGCAGAGTGCATTGTGAGCAAGGGCATGATACAGTGCTAAAGGCTCAGGAGAAGATTCCAACAAGGATTTGTTGTCCAGGAATCAGAACCTAGTTTTTTCAGCTGGATGTGCTTCTCTTGTGTGGCTGGGTTAGGATTTTCTGTCTTTTCTCCATGGCCTTTGGAGCACCCTTCCCACGGCTGCTCATTCTGGAGAGCTGTGGAGGAGAAGCAGCATCTGTGGAGGAGAAGTGGCTTCTCAGATTTGCCATGCAGGCAGGGAATATCCTGGAGTCTCTGTAGAGGAGCAGGTGGCAAGTCCCAGCACTGGGGATGGCAAAAAGGATGTTGGCAGATCCCCTTGGTCTCTAGGAACAGCAGGATCAGCCTTCTCTCGAAGCACAGCAGCTCTGTATACCATAGGAAAAATCATCATTAGCCCTGCAGGCACTGTGACACATAAGGACTAGCTCTGGCTTAACAGCTCTCGGTGAGATAAGCTCATTGCTGGATAACTGGGGAGAACAGGAGATGTGCAGTGAGCCCTCCCTTCAACCTTTGCTCTTAGTGCTGCTGGAGCTGGCATTGCATCCTTTTTCCAGAGACAGGCAGGAGTTTCCTGGGAGCTGCTAACAGACCACTTAAGAAATGGGACAGTGTCAGTCAGAGCTGAAAAACCAGTCAGGGTTAGGGCAGAGTGGGATGGGTGTCCCCAGGCAAGTTCCCAAAGCACCAGGCAGCAATCTCTGAATGTAGTGTGGTTCTGTTTCTGCCCAGGTTGAAGCCTCACAGGATGGTGCAGGACCTTCGTGTGTGACCCCCCGGGCTCCAAGCAGTGCTGCCGGGCCCCAGGCCCCTCTGGAGATGAATCTTTGCTGGAACGAGATCAAAAAGAAATCCCACAGCCTTCGGTAAGAGTCCTGCCTGCAGCAAGCTCCAGGCTGGCCTGGCTTTCCAGCCTTGCCTGCTGCTTGTGATTGTCAGGAGGTTTTTGAACTTTTTTGCTTGATGAGCCACATGAATTCACAGTGACCTTGGCTCAGCTCCCCCTCTGGTCCATAGACTTCTGAATCTCCTTTTGCTGGAAAGCATCTCCTCCATTTCTACCCATCCCGTCCTCTCCTCCCTCCCCTCCTTCCCTCCTTGCTTTATGCTGCTCTCTCTATCCTCTGCCACCTCTGCAGTTCTCTCTTTTTGCCCCATGGCTTTATCTCCACCTCCTTTGTGCCTGTCCCTTTGCTGGGAGCCCTCTCCACTGCGTGAGGGGAACATGCCTTCCAGACTCTCAGAGTTTGCAGCTCCACAGCCAGCATGACAGAGAGCTTAACTGGGGCGTGTTAATTGTCTCCTGCCTTAATCCCAGGCTCCTGGAAGCTGCCCAGACATATAAATGCCATTCCAAGCCCCCCTTGCTAGCCAGAGCAGTTCTGACCCACAGGCAAACACAGAATGACTATCCTCTACTCTGGGCTCCAGGGTGAGGCATAGCTTCTGTTTCTGTCCCCAGTGCCTCCATGCCTCACCCCACCTGGCAGTGCAGCCTCTCTGCTGGCTGGGGGTCATGCACAGCCCGTGCTGAGGGGTGCTGCCAGTCCCTGAGGAGGTGCTGGGGGTCAGCACCCAGCCATGGTGCTGTGCTTCCGCTCCTCAGGGAACCTGCTCCTCTCCTGCCTGTCTGTCTGTCATCTCACTGTCCTTGCTCTCGTGCCAGGGCTCGGCTGGAGGCCTTCTCTGACCACAGTGGGAAGCTGCAGGTGCCTCTCCAGGAGATCATTGACTGGCTGGGGCAGAAGGATGAGGAGCTGTCGGCACAGCTGCCCCTGCGGGGCGATGTTCTCCTGGTGCAGCAGGAGAAGGAGACACACGCGGTGCGTTCCTCCTGCCTGCCCTGCTCACTGCTGTGATGGGCTGTGGGTGGGCAGCCCTGCTTGGGACCCCTGCCTCGTGTCACTGCCCATGCCACAGCCAGGCCTTGAGTGTCTCCATCCTGAGAAAAGGCAGAGCCCATCTTGTTTTAGATAATAAACCCACATGATAGCCTCAAGTCACTTGCAGCTGGTAGTGAACCCTGTCCTTTGTAGGGGCTTCCCTATGTCCTACCTCTCACTGGCCTCTTTTGGGATCCCGCTTTTGGGATCCTGGAGCCTGAGAAGGCTGCATGGATTAGGGGCAGTCCTGTAGCTGGGATATGAGTGATGCCTGCAGGAGCACCTAATCATCATATCTGAAACTGTGGTACACCCAGACAGATCAGAGTTTCCTGCTCCCATGTTCACAGCATTTTCTTCTCACTGCCAGTGGCTGTTGGGCATTAGTTGTTTTTACCTTGAAAACAAACATAAAATGTTTACTGCTGCTATCCCTCATCCTTGCTGGAGCTTCCTTGATGCACAGACATCCAGCAGACAGCACTGATGTGGGAGCTGAAGTTGGAGGGGACACTAGACCAGCGTGCCTCTGAAGTCTTCCCTGGCAGATGTGCTGCTTTGGGGCATCCTGCTGTTCCTCTCCTTGTTCCTGGAGCAGCTGGACCTGTTGCTGAGCAGCTGCTGGGGGGATTGTTAGTGTGGCCATGCTCTCACTGCACAAGTCAAGAGCGTCTCCAAGCAGTGCCTCTGAAAGCACCATAAATAAAACAGCTCCTCTTGTGCAGCCCTGGCTCAACACACCATTCTGGGCTTGCTGTTCTGTCTCCCCACTCCAACAAAGCTGCAGGCCAGACCTCTGCAGGAGCCACCTTCTGGCACGTGGTCATTCCTTTCCTGAACTGCAAAAATATTTCTCTTAACACTGACTGGAGAAGCTGCCTGGAACAGAGGCTGGACAGTGTTAAAGGAATAAAGTAGGTATTTATCAAAAGGCCTTTAAAGGATACACCTTGGGCAGTGCAAGAGCTTGGCTGTGGTTCCACCTAAGATGGACCCCGAGTCACGAGTTTTCACAGTTTTACAAGTTTTGGTCCATTTCCATATTGGGGTTAATTGTCCAATTACAGCTCCAGGTTCTGCAGTCCCATCCTCCCAGATTCTCTCGTTAATCCTCTGCTGTTTGCACTTTATGGGCCTGAAGCTGCAATATTGTCCTTGGTTCTGGGCTGGAAAAGGATTGTTTTGTCTGACTGAGCTGTGAGGAGAACTTGCTAACACTTCATGTGAAGTTCAGAGTCACGCACCAATGCAGTACAGAATCTGAAAAATATAAAAGTTAGAACTTAAGACATCACCTCCAATGAGATTTGGTCCTTGGGATGAATAAATCACCGCAGCATTAGGGAAGGGGGCAGCCAGGACACAACTTTGTGTCAGCCTGCTGTCTCATGTCTGTGCTCTACTCTCCAGGCTTTTATGGAAGAAGTGAAGTCTCGGGGACCATACATTTACTCTGTCCTGGAGTCAGCACAGGCTTTCCTTTCCCAGCACCCATTTGAGGAATTAGAAGAACCAACTTTGGAAAGCAAAGGTCTGTGGAGCTCCCCCTTTTTCTGGTTGTCTGGTTTCACAGCTCCTTCTGGGCTGACCTGGAAAGGGTGGAGTGAAGGTGGCTGCTGTGGCACAAAGCAGCACATCAGTGCTCTGCTTCACACTGCTGCGCCCAGCTGTGCCCAGTTCTTTGGCCAAAGGTCAGAGCAGTGTCACTGTCCCAGGAAAAGGCAGAGGCTTCGGGTGCAGTCCATGATGGGGGCACCTCATGAGGCAGCAGCAGATGTGCTCTGGGACTGGTTTTTAAAAGGCAGCACAGCTTCTGCCTGTGAGGATAGAGAGGCTGAATACCTAGAGGAGCTGCTGCAGAGATAGATACTATTATTACGTGTTTTCCTTCCCTTTTTCCAGTTTTCCCTAGATTTTTTTTCCTCTCTCATTTCCCAGTCCTCCCTCCATCCCTTGCCCCACTCTCCTCTGGGTTGGGCTCTCATTTTGGCTGCCTGTTCCCTCCTGCCTTGCCTTCCCAGATGTGTCTCCCCGGCACCGGATCCAGAACATCAGCCGCTTTGTCTGGAAGCAGGCGAACGTGGCCAGCGAGCTGTGGGAGAAGCTCACAGCCCGGTGTGTGGACCAGCACCGCCACATTGAACGGACCCTGGAGCAGCTGCTGGAGATTAAAGGGGCTATGGAGGAGCTCAGCACCACCCTGGACCAGGCTGAAAGCGTGCGGGAGACATGGGAACCCATCGGGGACCTCTTCATTGACTCCTTGCCAGAGCACATCCAGTCAACCAAGGTACTTCTGTGTAAAGGTGGTGGCATTTTTGAACCACTTCATTAGTGGTTTGTTTGGAGTTTCTTTTATTCTCACTTAGAGCTAGGATTAAAAAATACACGAAGGAAATGGATTTTCTCATGTTTGGGCTTGGTTGTTTATCAAATCTTATAAAAAGTACAGAAAGTTCTGCAACTTTTAGCCACCAGCTAGCAGTGAGCAAAATGGAGATGAATCCAGCTAGCTACAAGGTCTCTTAAAGCTAAACGGTCCAATAGAGAAATAACACCTATATTATTTATACTTTTAACCCAATAATTAAATTCCTGTGACCCTCAGTGTGGTGCTAACTGTCCAACCAGAAACTACTGCCTGAAACCATGAAGAAGAAGAAAGATGAACACTGAAAGTGACACCACCTAAAATCCTCCATCTTGTTCCATACCTATTACTATATTATAAAAATCTCAAATTTAAAACCCTTCACCATGTGAAAGCACACACTTCTATTTGACTGCACACCCATGATTTTAACTCCATCACTCAAATTTGGAGCCTTCTCCAAGGCCTCAGGTCAAAAGCAGTGTTCTCCGGGGGTCAGTGCCAGAAAGCACAGAAAGCTCAAAAAACCCAGGCTTCTGGGATCCAGCACTTTTGGCTCTGAGAAGGCTCCGGCCTTGGCCATGGAGGTGATGAAATGCTGCTTCCCAGGAGGACAGAGCTGCTCCCATGGACTGCTCAGTCCAAGGCAGACTCATTACCTGGGATTTCAGGGCCAAGGCCTCTTTCCCACATCCCCCTGCTTTATGAGGGGGGTTTTAACCAGCAGTGTCCTGAGCAACTGGCCATGCTGAGTGCCTTGTCACGGCACAGACCTGACACAGGTACAGTGGCTCAGCATAGTTGAGTCACTGTCTCCTTTTCATTCATCGGGAGTAATCTGCAGCCCCCCATTTCATTTATCAGGAATAATCTGCAGTTTGATTAGTTTGGTTAGGTATTTTTTCCCCTGCTAAGGTACCCTGTGGGAGGGTTAGTCAGCAGTGGCTTGGCAGCCACTAGCCCACCCTAGCTTGCATTAAAGGAAAAAGATCCAAGTCCTGGCTACTCACGTGCTTCTTTTTCTTCTTCCCCTGCTCTGTTCCTGTGTCCCTGGGCATTGGACTCCAGCTGTTCAAAGAGGAGCTCTCCCCCATGAAGGATGGGGTGAAAGTGGTCAATGATCTTGCACACCAGCTTGCTATCTCAGATGTCCACCTGTGTATGGAGAATTCCCGCACCCTGGAGCAGATCAACACCCGCTGGAAACAGCTGCAGGTGGGAAGGAGTCAGGAGCAAGCATTGCAAATAAACCATGAGCAGGAGGATGCTGGCAAGGGCTGGCACTGCTGAGCTTCAAGGATGATAAAGTAAGGTTTGGCACAGCAGGATGTTATAGCTGATGTTCTTGGAGGACAAGAGTATCAGTTCAGTGCGAGGAAAGAGTCTGGAGAGATCTTTGTCAGGAAAAGGCAGTGGGAGGAACAAAGGGAAAATCAGGATGTGTTGGTGGAGGAGGTCAGTACCAGCTGTGACTGTTTTGATGTCTGTGAGAGTATGGATACAGGTGAGCTGGAGATGTGGCCGTGCTGCCTCAGCCTGTGGGAGGAGGTGTAGAGGGTTTAGCAGGCTGGAGGAGGACACAAGCTACAAGGTAGGAGAGGAAGGGAGGGTGTGCTAGGGCATGTCTGAGTCCACCTACAAGCCTTCCTGAGTGGGTCATCAATCCAAAATGCCTGTTGGACTGCCAGTGAATTATTTTTCAATTCTCCAGGCCTCCATAAACGAACGCCTGAAGCAGCTCCAAGATGCTCACCGGGATTTTGGACCAGGCTCCCAGCACTTCCTCTCCTGTACGTGAGTGAGTCCCACTGGCTTCTGCCACGAGGTTGCCTCTGCAGAGCAGCCTGGGCTGTGGCACAGGAAAACAGGGTGCAAAGTCCTGTTGCTGAGCCCAGAGCCATGCACGAGGCTGGAAAAGTGCCCAGGCTAGTGCCTGGTACACGGGAGCCAAACCAAGAGGCATCTCCAAAGTTGGCGTTGTGCTGTCTCACCTTGTGGGACCAAGGGTGGGACGTGAGTGTGGTTTCCCTTCAGAGCACAGAGCTGTGACACAGCAGCAGCTCCAGGGGACACTGGGACTGTGTCAGCCTCAGAGCAAGACAACAGATGGCAGGAAAAGGCCATCCCTAGTACCCTTGTGTTAGTTATTTGGAGGCGAAAAATGTGCCTTTTCAGGAGGCTTTCATTCTTTTGGTGAGGCAGTGGGATTCAGTTTTTACAGATCAGAGCTGGTGGCTTGTCAGCAGCTCTCAGGTCTGCAAAGGGTGGTGGACAACAGGTTGTTCTCCAGAGCCTGGGGTCTGTCCTTGGAAATGCTGAGCCCTGAATAGTGTCCAGATATCAGTGGGATTTGTTGGCCTGTGCTTCTCTGCAGACTGCATACTCCTATCTGAAAGGAAGAATGACTGTTCCAGTTGATGGAATTGATATGCTACCTGTGAAAAAGGAAAATAACTGAGGGTTATACCACGGCTTCCACCCTCTATATAGCATAGGGTGACAGGCAGCTGGTATGGGATGAATCCTCATCTTCCCAAGATGCTGCAGCTGGCACACAGAGCAGGAATAACAGGAACAACAGATGCTTTGGGTGTCTGAGCCTGGTCATAACAGGCAGTGCTGTGTCTGCGTGCCCAAATCTCATCTGCTATGAGCCCTGCCCACTGATGACCACAGGGTTCCCTTGGGCATCAGGAAATCAGGAAATGTCTGTTCCTGAGTTCTGAGCTCAGCCAGATGCAAAGCCCCTGGCTTGAGAGGCAAGATGTCTCTAACAAGACCAGCAGTCTTGAGCCTTTTTTCTTTTCAGCATCCCCTTGCCTGCACCAACACCTCCAGCTGGTGATTTGGGGGGCCACAGCCTTTTCAGAGGCAACCACCTGTTGGCACAGTCCTGCTGGGCTGGCATCAGAAACTGCATCAGCTTAGAGGAGCATTTGGTGTTGATCTGACACGTGTTTCTCTCCTTGCAGCCTCTGTCCAAGTCCCCTGGGAGCGAGCCATTTCCCCCAACAAAGTGCCATACTACATCAAGTGAGTGTTCCCAGACACAGCCCGAGGTCTTCTCTGGCCTGGTGGGAACAGGAATTGGGCACCAATTGGAAGAGGGGGGCAGTGAACAGACTGGAGTGAGAACTCGCCTCCAGTGAAGCAGGTCTTTCTCAGCCTGGCAGATCCAGGCTTTCCCTGCCTGCTGGGATGCCCAAGATGAGGGGAAACCCCAGCTGGAAGGAGAGGGGCTGGCAGCAAGTGAGGATGTCCTACTGTGGGCATCCTTCATGCTGCTGTGACTGGGGAGTGTGCTCAGTGGGATGCAGCAGTGTCTGCAGACACTGAAACACTTGCTCCCAGTGCTGGCCAGGTCCTTTTTTTTTAATCTCTCATGGTATCTTTTGGTTACCAGATTGACTCTTGGTCTCCATGTATTTTGCTTCCAGCCACCAGGCCCAGACGACGTGCTGGGACCACCCAAAGATGACAGAGCTGTACCAGACACTGGGTAAGGAGGCTGTCACAGAACCATTTGAGTGGTACTTGCCTTTTTGCAGCATGGGGTGCATGTGAGATTCCCCAGGCCTCCTGCTCCCCTCTGTGGCACAGGGTCCCCCAAAGCAGTGGGGTGTGACCCCTGCCAGGCTCTGCTCCTCACTCTCCTGTACGTGCTCTGGTGAGGCTGGGGTCTGAGAACTGCAGCTGCTGCTTCCTGCCCTGGAGATAAGGATGTTGTGCTGTGGTTTTATTTTTGTTTTCCTGTGCCACTGCAGCGGATTTGAACAACATCAAGTTCTCGGCATATCGGACGGCCATGAAACTTCGGCGGGTGCAAAAAGCCCTTCGATGTGAGTGTGGGAAGGGTTTCCCTCCTGCTGGGTCTCCCTCAGTGAAGGCATTAAACTAACAACAGCTTTTATCAGCACATCAAAGGCAGGAGGCACTAGGGGACAGGTAGCTGAGGCGAGAAACCAGGAAGATCAGCCTGGGAAGCTGAGCAAATCCACCAGTCTGTGTCAGTGCCTTTCTTTACAGGCTTGGGGTGGAAATGACCCAAGGGCAGGTGTTATCCAAAGAGGTGTAGAACAAAGTGGTCCAGCTCAGGGTTACAAAGCTGTGAGATCAGGCAGGAGCTCACCAAGCAGCTCCGAAGGAGCATGGAGAAGGTGTGGATGTAACTGAGATATGAAATCAGCCTCACTGGCAGGGACACAGAGGGCGTCACTGCTTACGGAGGAGGAAGGGAGCCAATAAACCTGACTTCTGCACTCTTGGTGGAAACTGGAGGATTAATAGCCAGGTGAATATGATATGACAGGAGTTCAAACATCTCTGCAAGAGGTAGCTGCTCCCTGGAAACTGCTGAGGAGTTTCTGGTGGAACTGGCAAGCAGGCAGATGCGAATCTGATAGATGCAGCATCCTTGGCTCCTCAGAGCTTTTGACAAAGCCTCTCACCTAAGGCTCTGTCAAAATGAAGCAGCAGCAGGCTGAGGGAAATCCTCCTCCTGAATTAATTGCTCATGAAGGGGAGGAGGTACAGCCAGGCAGCAGTGGGGTCCCAGGCAGACCTGTGCTCTTTGACATCCTGTGAAAGGGCTGGAAGAAAGCAATGAGTTAGGGTAAAAGGAGATTGGGTTCTCAGTGGGAGTCAAACCCTGGATATGGAGTATTTTCATAACACTGTGGTGATCAGGCTGTCCTGCACCCAGGGACATTCAGAGATGATGTATTGTAAATGGAAGAAAGAAGCAGTTAGCTTTTGCCACCCTATTAGGTGTCCATGCAGCAGCAGGCAAGATGTGGAGAGGAAACAAGTGAAGAGCAAAGGAGAGCCCTCCTGTGTGCTGTTTGTGCATCTTTGGTTGTGCATCTCTTGCATCTCACATACTGCACTGTTGCTTCCTTTCCACCCCAGAAATGACTTGAATAAGTGCTCTTTATTCAAGGTATACTTGAGAAAAGGGCAAGGAGGATGCCAAGGCAGCTTTCCCATAATAAGTTTGGTGGAGGGGCTGTGTAGGGAAGAGGCAGTGAGGGATAGATCAGAGCCATATGCAGTCGTGGGCAGTGTGGACACGAGGGTGGGCAGGAGCAATACTCCCTGTCACAGAAACTGGGGCTTCCCAGTGCAAGTGTAGCAGCTTTGACAGGAGAAGGGAGCATTTTTCCACAGAGTGAAGTTACAGCATGGAAAAGGCACACAATCCCCTGAGTACTGTGAATATAAATGGTCTCAAAGATGGAAAGACTTTCAGGAAAGAAATATTGCTGGTTGCTAACACGGTAGCACGTACAACCTGCAGCCACAGAAATCTGAAAGCAGAACAGCCAGGGCAGCTCACACTGTCGTAACCCTGTTTTGGGGTTGTACCTTAACTCCCTTACCCTGTCAGAGCTGGAGACAGGAGTGATCCATCTCTGGGCAGTTGCTTGTAGGGTCTGTGTGTGTCTGTTCCCCCTCACCTCCCCATGCCAGCCCCACCAGGGACCTGGCACATGCAGAGGGGCCAGTACTGGGCTCTGCACAGAACCTTCCATGGGTGGCATTTTCATGGCCATGGCTGGACACAGCAATGAGGAAGGAAGGTCACAGAGAATGGTGGCTCAAGGTGGATATGTGGTATTTTGGGAGAGGTTTACAGGCAGAAGAAAAAATTCTAGGAGCTGCACCCACCCTACCATCATCTTTCCCAACACAGTGGGACTAACACTGCCCCAGGTTAGGGCAGGACTGCATCTCTTTCCTCTTGATTCTCACCTCTCTCATTTCTCCTCTTTCCCTCTGATCCCTCTGCCTGTGCTTTCTGTGCAGTGGACATGGTCACCCTGGCCACGGCTTTGGAAATCTTCAATGAGCACGACCTGCAGCCCAGCGACCGGGCCATGGATGTGGTGGAGGTCATCCACTGCCTGACCGCCCTCTATGAGCGGCTGGAGGAGGAGCGGGGCATCCTGGTGAACGTGCCCCTCTGCGTGGACATGAGCCTCAACTGGCTGCTGAATGTCTTTGACAGGTACCTCTCCCTCAGTGTCCCCCAAACTGCGAGGCTTCTATGCCTGGGAGGAAACCTCTGTGCTGCTCTTCCAGCTGGCAATGCTGCAGAAAGGTTCTGGCTGCTGGGGAGGGAGGCTGCTGTATATTAGGTGTATATTTGCCTTGATGACCCCTCTGCCAAAAAAACCCCACCCTGAGACATTTGCCGACCTGTGCAATATCTTGCAGTGGCCGCAGTGGGAAGATGAGAGCTCTCTCCTTCAAGACGGGCATTGCGTGTCTGTGCGGGACAGAGGTCAAGGAGAAGTTCCAGTGTGAGTCCCTTGTGTCCCTCCCGTAGAGCCTGGTGTGAATTCACCTTGGGAAAACAGGAGTGGTTTTGTTTCCTGGCTTAAACCTTCTTTGCCCAGGAAGAGCAAAGAAACAGCTTCCCTGCAGTGACTAAGCTGCTTGCATCATCACCTCTCCCTCCCTCCCTAGGCCTACGCCACCGAAATTAGAAGGCGTTTTTGTAGACTGATGCTGCAGTGCTCTTGCTTGCATGGCACTGAAAGGAACAGTGCAAAGAAGGCACACAGGAAAATTATCCAGTGCTTTCCAGAAGGAAAATACCAGGGGATGCATGGCTGGGGGGAAGTAGATTTCATGCAATTGCTTTCCTCACTGCATTTTAACCATGGAATATTGTGGAGGGGAATGTTGTGTAGCATAGGGAGTACAAGGTGTTAAATAAAGGGATTGGGCTGATTCACAGAGGATAGCTAGCTGGGGCTGTTTAATAAATGATGTACGTTACCTCTTTCCAAAGAAGACATTAAACTGGTTATTAAGAGCTGGAAGGATACTGGTGAAGGTTATTTAATCATAGCTCAAGTTTTTTCTCTTATTGGAGCTCTCTGCTGGAGGCAGTCTGTTGGATCTTAGAAACCTGGGTTTTTTGAGCTTTCTGGCCCTGCCCCCTGGAGAACACCGCTTTTGACCTGAGGCCTTGGAGAAGGCTCCAAATTTGAGTGATGGAGTTAAAATCACGGGTGTGTAGTTAAATAGAAGTGTGTGCTTTCACATGGTGAAGGGTTTTAAATTTGAGATTTTTATAATATAGTAATAGGTATGGAACAAGATGGAGGATTTTAGGTAGTGTCTCTTTTGGTGCTCATCTTCCTTCTTCATGGTTTCAGGCAGTAGTTTCTGGTTCGACAGTGCTGCACTGAGGGTCACGGGAATTTGGTTATTGGGTTAAAAGTATAAATAATATAGGTGTTATTTCTCTATTGGACTGTTTAGCTTTAAGAGACCTTGTAGCAGTCAGTGGGGTCCCTGGTGTGACCCACACACTGCTCCCCTGGTGCTGGGGTGCCAGCTGTGTGTGCCATGCCCGCAGATCTTTTCAGCCAAGTGGCCAACGCCGGGGGACTGTGTGACCAGCGGCACCTCGGCGTCCTGCTCCACGAGGCCATCCAGGTCCCACGCCAGCTGGGGGAGGTGGCAGCGTTCGGGGGCAGCAACGTGGAGCCCAGCATCCGCAGCTGCTTCCGCTTTGTGAGTGTGGGGCACAGCCCTCGCCCCTCTGCAGCACTGTGCTGTGCATCTGCACCCTGCTGCAGCTAGGTCCCAGCTCTGAGCAGCCCCTTCCTCTCCCCAGAGCAATGGGAAGTCTGCCATTGAGGCGTCCCAGTTCCTGGAGTGGGCCAACCTGGAGCCACAGTCCATGGTGTGGCTGGCGGTGCTGCACCGGGTGACCATGGCCGAGCAAGTGAAGCACCAGACCAAGTGCTCTGTGTGCCGGCAGTGCCCCATCAAGGGGTTCAGGTAAGGGTTGTGATAGGGGGCCCTGGCCCCAAGGGGAGTGCATGGTGTCCTGCAAGAGACGGCCGAGATTGCTTTGCTCTTGGGGGAGCCTGCAGCTCTGCAGTTTTGGCAGGGCAGAGCAGGTGCCAACTAAGGGGAAGGAGCCGAGTGCTTTTCTGGGGACTTCAGCCGTTAGCACTGTGGATTCACTGGGGCGTTAGAGCAACACAGGCCACCTCTGTCCCCTCCACTGACATCTTCTTGGGCTTTAAATATGTGTTTTGATGACTTCCAGTGCTTCTCTATGGCCTCTTGACCTCTCCAGGTATCGGAGCCTGAAGCAGTTCAATGTGGATATCTGTCAGACCTGCTTCCTCACCGGGCGAGCCAGCAAGGGCAACAAGCTGCACTACCCCATCATGGAGTACTACACCCCGGTATGGAGCTGGACTGGGCTGGGAGGGCCCTGGCTCAGAGCAGAGCCCCCTGACGGCAGCAGTCTTGTGATGTTTAGGCTGGTGCAGCCCCATAAGTGGATCCCTTGTGTAGTTTTGTACCCTCTGCATGCTGGAGGCTGTCCCTGCTATTCGGGGGCTCATGATGAGCAGGATGCATGGTCCCCAGTGCCCAGACTGGCCTGTACCAGGCCCCATGACACGCTCATAGAGCTGCTATGTGCCCTCCTTGCTTCCTCTGTTTTATCTGCCTCTTTCCCCATGGAGCTCATGCCCAGCCTGAGGGGATATCTTATTGTGGGTGCTGAGCTGTGGTCCCCCACTTTTTTCATTAAACGGCACCTTTGTCATATTTGTGTCTCTGCAGACCACATCCAGTGAGAACATGAGAGACTTTGCCACGACACTGAAGAACAAGTTTCGGTCCAAGCAGTACTTCAGCAAGCACCCACAGAGAGGTTACCTGCCCGTCCAGTCTGTGCTCGAGGCTGACTTCTCTGAGACGTGAGTTGGCTGTACCCTGGGTTATGTCTTTTGGCCCAGAATGAGACATGGATGGAAAGAGCATCTCAGCTCATACAGGGCTCCTGGGGGAGGGCTGGAGGAGCACTTGTTCTGGGGGTGATCTGTCACCTTGTTCTGGAAGGCACAGAGATTTCAGTCTCCCTCTCCAGCCCATCCCTGGCTCTTCTCAGCCAGGTGAGATCAGTTTCTCCCAAGCTGTGCTGATCAGTGTGCATCTCTTGCAGCCCAGCCTCCTCCCCGATGTTACCACATGCTGACACACACTCCCGGATTGAACACTTTGCCAGCAGGTACCACTACTGGGCTCTGCTTCTTGCTGGGGCACAGAGCATGGCCCTGGTGGGGGTGTGGGGGGGCTTTGGGGCAGATACACGGTCACAGACCCCTCCACCTGCCCCAGCATGCTGCAAAAGCAGGAAAACCAGCCTGGGACGTGGCTGATGCTGTGTAAATCGGCAGCAAAGATTGTGCATTTGACAGCAGATATCTTGGTGATGCAGCAGCCTCCATGTGCTGTCCTGCTCTTTCCAGTATGAGCTGCTGGATGCATTCTCAGCAGGCACATCCTTTGGTGCCTTGTTCTGCTCTTTGGCCTCACCAGAGCTGTTTGCCAGCTTCCCACTACTGCTGCCTTGTGGTTTGTAGTGCCTCTGCCCTCTCTGTGGGGACCCAAGGGGTACAGGGAGCCTGTACTTGTAGGTCAGGTCCTAGGCTGGAGCTGGAATTCTTATACTCTCTCCTTTGCTTGTGAGAGAGGAGGCTGAGCCAACTGCACAGCAGCAGCTCTTTATTCTAGAGACTTACACCCAAAGCAGCAATGTATTTTGGTTTTTGAAAAGGCAAAACTCTCTAGAGCCTGTGCAGAGGGGCAAACTGGTGCAGGCCAGGTGGGAGACCCTGCCAGAGAGGAGTCTTGCAGGGGCTGCTGCAGGTAGGGTGCCCTGAGCAGACATTTAGGGTGTCTCTGATCATATCTCAACCTTTTTCCTCCAGGCTTGCAGAGATGGAAAGCCAGAATTGTTCCTTCTTCAGTGAAAGCCTGTCCCCTGACGACAGCCTGTGAGTTCTCCTTTCCTTTCTCCTCACCTCCTGATGGGTCAGGGCTCCTATGGCTCTGTCTATGCCTAGCCAGAAATGTTTTCCTTCCCTGTCCCATTGAATGAGAGGCTCTTGGGCACCCCCAGCTATTGGGATGCTGAGCCCCTTCTGAGCTCTAGGCCTGGAGCAGCCAGGAGCTCCCCTATGAAATTGCTACCCTCCATGCTGTCCTTCCCCAAGGGCACATAAATCCCATGACTGTCTAATGAAGGTGTTTCTCCCCCTGCTGGAACAGGGATGAGGACCAGTACCTGCTGCGCCATTCCAGCCCCATCACTGACAGAGAGCCTGGGGGCAGCCAGCCAGTTCCAGGAAGCCTCAACATGGATGACAAGGGAGAGCTGGAGAGAGTCCTGGCCCACTTAGAGGATGAAAACAGGTAGAGAGACATGGGCAATTCTGAAAGTGGGAGTTATACCTTGAGAGGGGGAAGGGACTGGAGAAGCCTTGTAGAGCTCAGAGTGGAGCCAGGGGATGCTGCTGGGTCTGGAGGTGGGGATTGCAGATGCTGGGAGGGCAGTTTGGGAGGGTGACTAAGCTGAGCACTAGAACTCAGTGAGGGTGTGCTCTCCAAGGAAGGGAGATGACTCTATTCCCCAAAATATGCCTTCCTACATCCACAGAACCCGTTCCCTCCTGAACCCCAAGCAGGTTGAAGTGAGCCCAGGGCACTCTGTCTTTCTTGAGCCTCTCGTGAACAGTGATATTGCTGCTCACACAGGGTGAGGCTCTAGGCAGGGCACACCAGCTCAGCAGGAGGTGACGCTTTCCCTGCCCTTGTTATCAGCCTGTTGGGAAGTGGTTGCGTATCTGCAAAGCCCCTGTGTGGGGTAGAACCACAGACACTCTGCAGTGCAGCGTGCTGGCCCTTGAGCTTCACAAACGGCAAAGCTTTGTCTGAGTTGTGGGCCATCCCCAGAGTGCAGCTCCTGGGTGTTTCCAGCAGTCTCTAGGATGGATTGAGGGGATGCTGACCTGGGCTGTCCTGCAGGATCCTCCAGGGAGAGCTGAGACGTTTGAAATGGCAGCATGATGAGGCAGTGGAGTCTCCAACCTTGGCTACAAGCTCTCCTGAGTCAGTGCAAGACCCACGTAACGACGAGCTCCTGGCAGAAGCGCGAATCCTGCGGCAGCACAAGAGCCGTCTGGAGACACGGATGCAGATCCTGGAGGACCACAACAAGCAGCTGGAGTCACAGCTGCACAGGCTGAGGGAGCTGCTGCTACAGGTATGCTCAGAGCAAGGGTGGGGTAGGCTTTGCCACAGCAGAGCTGTGACAATGGCACAAAGGGGATGGGCGGAGCAGGGGAAGCCAAGGACAGAGGATCAACCTTCTGACAGCAACTCTTCTCACTCCAGCCTCCAGCAGAGTCAGAAGGCAATGGTTCAGCAGCCTCTTCCTTGGCCTCATCTCCACATCAGTCAGAAGGTAGCCAGGCAAAGGAGAAGGAGCACAACACCCCTGACACTGAAACTGCAGGTGAGGTCTGGGCTTGGGCTGAGCTCCTGGCCCTGCTCCCTTGTTTCTATGCTGCAGGGAGCTGCCTGCACCCTGCCGTCCTGCAGAGATGCTGGCAGCCAGGTGGATGTCCAGAGAGCCTTTCCATACCCACCTGCCCTCCTTCCCACCACAGATGAGGTGGAAGCCAAAACCCAGGAAGTCAGCATGTGCCTGGAAGACATAATGGAGAAGCTGCGGAGCGCCTTCCCCAACTCTCGAGGTACTTGAGTGAAATCCTCCCTTACTGCTCCCTCAGGTGAGGTTTTTCCCACAGAGCCCTGCCCCGATCCCAGCTTCCCTGCGACAGCTGATGACCCACAGTGCTTCAGCCAAGAGCTTTGCTGCTGCAGTGCTGCTGGGACGGGTGGACTGGGAACAGAGGAGGAGGAGGCTTCACACCTGCAAGGAGAGGCAATCAGAGCTGCCAAGAGCACAGACCAAACAGATCCCTGTGATGAGCTGCAAGGCATCCTCCTGCCCTGCTGAGGACTCTGCTCCCCACGGGGCTCCTACTGTGAGGATGGACAGATCTGCCAGCACCACCTGCAGTGACAGCTTAGAGCCACCTCCTGGCTCCATCCCTGTCCAGACCCCTCTGCAGGAGAGGTCGAGGCCCCAGTAGCCTGGTGAGATGGAAGCAATGGTTCAGGCTCTCCTGGCTGCTCATGGACGGCTCTTCCCAGCAGGGATAGAGACTGGGGGGATGTGTGTATGGATGGTACTCTGCTCATCAGTGGGTTTTGGTGTTAGTCATTCTGCTCTTTCCCTGTATGCTCCAGTGCAGGAGCAGCATTTGGTCTCATGCCCAGGCTGCCAGAGGGAGACATGGCTTGGTGCCAGCACTAACATAAGATGGTGGTTTGCCCATGCAGATTCTTGCCCACTTTCTGCCATCCTTGAGCAGGATCCTCCTGGCTCTGCAGCAGCCCCCTTCTAACTAGGTGGCTCTGGGTCCTTTTTTCCTGACCTGTCTATTTCTCTTCCAGGTATGACCTCCCTTATCTAACACCTCCTGTGAGCCAGAGGCTTTTCCTAACCAGCTACCTGGCTGCTTTCTTCCCCCTCTCTCCCTGCCATGCTCTCTGTGCTGCAGCAGACCTCACACAGACTCCCTCCGAGCTGGTGGTGCAGGATGCTTGCCAGCTCCAGAAGATCTCAGGGGAACGTAGGTCATGCAGGAGTGGGACTGTGGGCTCCCCAGGAGGCTGGTTTGGTCACTCAGCCACAGTGCCCAAGCCTGGGTGGGATGGTTCAGAAGAAAGAACTGAAGCCATGAAAACTATCTGTCTCCCCTGGCACACACAGGCTGCTGCCTTTGCCTGTAGCCCTCGGGGGATGCAGAGCTCAGCATCCCACTCTTCATTTGTGGCCAGGAGCCTCCAGGTGTGTGGGCACCAAAACACTCTTGGAGCCAGACAATTTTTAAAATAACTCTTTATAACAGTAAACCAGCTGCCAGCCTTATAGTTTGAACTCTGCCCCCCAAGGCTTTGCAGCCAGCCAGGCACATACCACCAGGAGAGAGTCTGTGAGGTTTGTGGAGTAGGGATTGAGTCCATGTTAGAGCTTCAGCCCAGCTATTAGCCTTATATTGAGAGGGTCTTTATAACAGAGCCTTATTGTTTAATTTGCATATATTTCTATATATTATATATATATACTGTACTTAAATACTCTCATGGACTCACTCTATTAAACTCGAATACCTTAAGTGTAGCTGCCCTTCCCTTTCAGACCAGCCCAACTCCTGCTCCCAGGGGAAGCAGCATCTTCCCTGTTGCTGGTGCTGCCTTGCAGGGCTGCCATGAGGGAGCTCGGTGAGGGCCGGACCCACAGCAGCTTCTTCATCCTGCCTGGTTTCCTGGGGATCTGTGCCTTTGCCATGGCGCAGAGCCTGCACAGACCCAGCTCCGTGCCTGGGGAGCCTCAGCTCCTGCAGGGAGGGGTTTCTCCAGCCATATTCCAGCCCTGAGGCCACCTTGGTCTGACCCAAATGTGGCAGTGTGGGTGGGCAGCAGGACAGGCAGGGCACACCCTTGCTGCCCTGCTGCTGTCCCAAACTTTGAGTTGAGCTGGGGGGCTGGAGGCCCTTGTTGGAAGCGGGTCCCATGGAGCAGGGCAGGGAAGCTTTTCTGCCAGGGAGTGGTGGCTCTTGGTCCCCAGGGATCCCTCGGGCTGTCTGTCTTGTGCTGTGTTATGTCGAGAAAGAGGCAGAGTCAGGTGCTGCAGGGTAACCCAGAGCAGGGTCTGTGATGGCCCTGGTGCTCTGGAGCCACAGGATGTGGAGAGATGAGAGGCTTGAGCCCTCGGAGCAGGGCAGGACTGCACATAGAGGTGAAACATCCGATTTAAACTGGGCTTGCAAGGACAGAGCTAGGGCTGTTGTTGCTGGCTGGGACAGGACCCAGTGCTGAACTGTCCGGGGAGGGTGTGACCAGGGCAGGGTGTCAGCCCCAGGGCTGTGGGTTTGGCTCTGGGGTGTTGGCAGAGGAGAGGAGCAGTGCCCACACCAAAGACAAGGCGGTGTCAGCCTTACAGCCGGGGGTATTCAGCAAGTAGTGCTCCAGTGTCTGCTGGCAGCAGCGTGGGTGGCTGTCCTTGCTGTCCCCTGTCCTGGCCAGGTGAGTGGCAGGAGGGCAGTGTGGTGGCATTAGGATGGCTTTGGACATGCTGTGTCAGGCTGCAGGTGAGAGGGACCACAGGCCAGCCTGTGAGACAGCTGGACCCCTCTGTTATCCCAGGGGCAGGATGGGAGCAGCGTGGGGAGCAGCAGAGTGAGGTTTGGCCTGAGGGTGTGGTCCAAGGAGTATCCAGCCTTGGGGGGCACTGGGGGAAGAAAAAGGGCAGGATGAGGACAGAGCTGCTAGCCCCAGTGCCAGGTGTGGGGAGCAGAGGTGGCCAGGTTGGGTGCTTGGGCTGTGTTTGGGAGCCAGGATGTGTCAGGGAGGGGAGCAGGCTGGCTAATGCTCTGGTAACCATGTACTGTGGTGCTGCTGTCCTCCCTGCTTTGTGGCATCTTTGCTCTGGAAAGAGAATAAATTTGTATTTATACTGAGACCTGGATCAGTGCTCTGGCCTCTTCTGTCCATGCGTCTCGGCTGAGTCAGCTCCTGTTGCTGTGCCATCCTGGCACGGCCCCTGCAGGGCTGCTGGGACACAGCCTGCCCTGTGCCACCCTGGCTGTCCACACCACTCGAGGCAGAACAGAAACTGCGAGCAGAGCCCCAGGATCCCCAGACACAGCTGTGTCCCCCAAGCACCATCTTCATCCTCTTCCAATGAGGTCTCCTCAGGCCATGTGGCTGCCTGAGGGTTGGGACAGGAGCTGTGTGGGGATAGTCCCTCTTTCTCACCCGGGAACTCTGTCTGTAGGAAACCCTTCAGCCCCAGGCAGGAGGTAAACAGCAGTGGGATGCTGGGCAGGCAAGGCAGTCCTCTCCCTCCTTTCTCTCTGGAGCTCCATGAAGTTTTCAGTGCCCAGAGGTGCCTGGGTGCCTCAGTCCCAAGTGCTGCCCATGTTCACTGTACCTTTGTGGCACAATAAAGGATTCAGATGAAGAATAGTTTAGGTAGGGCTGGGGGCTGTCGGGCTCTCTCCACTTCCCAGACTTGGCTGATGGTGAAGCCTGCCCAGGACAGACAATTTTTGGGCTGGACCTGCTCTCACCCCATCTGGAAGGGCTGGCAGTGCCTTACATGGTGCCACTGCAGGGAAGTTTGGGGACACTCACGCAGGAGAGATTCAGGAGCTTAAGGGGGGTGAAATGCAGCCTCCTTAACCCCCCCTCTCAAGAGCAGCACAAACTGCCCCATCCTTGTGCCGCGGGCTCCAGGGCAAGGTGAAAGGTGTGGAATGTGATCAGGGAAGCTGGTCACGTTCAGGAATAAATCCAGCCCACCGTGCCAGAGAAGAGATTTTATTTCTCAGCCAGCAGAGCTCGGTGGCGCCTGGCTGAAAGGCGCTGGAGCCCAAGAGTCGGGGCAGGATGAGCACAGCATTGTCCCCGTGTCACTGCTTGGCCAGTCCCCAGCCTCGGGGCTCCCTTTCAGGGTACAGGAGCCCTGCTGCCCGTGCTGTGCCTCTTTGGCAGTGGCCTGGCAGCTGCTCCCCCAGGCAGGGGTAACTGGCCCTGCTCAGGGCTGGTCACAGCCCTGCTCTTCGCTGCACTGCTCCAGGGGTGCAGCACCCCCTTCTCTGGCTGCTATGGGGCACGGGGGTATTTTTGCTCCTCCACCCAACTCCTCACCTTCCCCAGGGGTGAAGCTCTCTGGGGGAATGTTGCCTTCCCCAGCATTTTCATGTCCTCTGCCTGCTCCCTGCTCCCTGCAGCTCAGCTCTTCCAGAGCCTCTCCAGACGTTTCATCCTCCAGCCCTTGGGGCCCCTCAGCTGGACACAGAAGTGGGGCTCTCTTTGCCTGAACCTGGGTCTCACTCCCTGTGCCAGCTTCCTTTGTTCCACTGGCTCCTTGCACTAACCCCTGCACTAGCCCTGCTGCCTTTGTCTCCCCTATTGCCCCACATTGCCCTGCTTCAGGCTTTTCTATTTTTGCTGGTAGACACTCTTTCTTTTTGTCCTTCTCCACTTTCCCTTTCACTACTGCCTCCTCTTCCCTCTCCTCTTTTTCTTCTTTGTTTTCTTCTTTGTTTTCTTCTTTGTTTTCTTCTTTGTTTTCTTCTTCCGTTTCTTTCTTCTCTACTTCTTCACCCTCTTTTAATTGCTCATCTTCTTCCTCTGCTCCTCTCTCGACCTTCTCCTCCCTCTCCCCTTTGTCTTCCTTTTCTTCCCTGTCTACCACCTCCTCCTCCTCCTTCTCCTCCTCCAGTTTTTCATCTTCTTCCTCTGCCCCCCTCTCCACCTTTTCCTCTTCGCTCTCCTCTTTTTCTTCTTCCTCTTCCCTCTCCTCATCTTCCCCCTCCTCCTCTTTCTTATCTTCCTCCTCTGTTCCCAGACTCTCTGGCTTTGCCCCACAGGTGCCCAGGTTTTTTTCTTCCCCCACTCCTATCCCACCCTTCCCTTCTGCCTCTTCTCCCACAGGCTCTCCCCGGGCTTCTTTTCCTCCTGGTGCTGCCCCTTCCCCCTCAGCCCTGGGGGTCCCTTGTTCTGCCTGGGGAGCCCTGCGTTGTTCTGTTACTTCAGTCTCAGCACCCTGCTCCCCCTGCCCAGGAGGGGTCTCCCGGACCCCAGCCTCACCCTGAGGTGCCCCATCACCCATATCCCTGCTCTCCTGCCCCTCACGGACCTTCAGACCCTGGGATGACTGGAAGAGGCCCTGGTAGCGCTTCCGATCCTCCACGTGCTTCTTCCTCATCCTCTCCCCCAGCTGCTTCAGCTCCTTCTTCACCGCAGCCGCCATGGAGGGGTCGAGGTGAGCCACGCGCTGGAAGTCCTCCCGTGCCTCCCTCTCGTTCCACACAGCAGCGTGGGCCTTTGCCCGCTTGAAATAGGCCTTGGCATTGTCTGCCAGGAGAGAAGAGCATTCAGCTCTTCTCAGAAGAGCCCAATGGGTCGTGCAGCTCAGGGTCACCAGCCACAGGAGCTGGAGACCCTGGGGACCAGGGGACATGAAGCACATGGGGAGGTGGAGTGTGAGGTGGGCACACCTGTAGGGAGGGCAGGGAGACGTGGGCTGTGCAGGGCAGCCAGGAACAGGAAGTGCAGGGATCATCATGGGAAGGGGAAGGATGGTGTGGTGGATGAGAGGACATTGTGGGCACGGGAAACTAGTGCCATGCGCACTGTCATGGGCAGGGCAAACTGGGACACAGGGATCCAGATGATAAAGGTGCTATCACAGGCAGAGGGACACAGGGCCCACTGGGTGGGGGATTCAGAGGATAGAGTCCCTGGGAGCCACGCGCACAGCAGGGGTGGGATGCAGGGCACAGGTACCATTGTGCTTCTGGAGAAGCTCCGTGGTGTGCTCCAGCACCTCGTAGTACTCGCCGAGCTCCAGCTGGCACTGGCAGTAGTTGAGCACCAGCGGTGTGACCAGGCTCTCCAGCTTCAGCCAGCCATCCTCCCACGGCTTCTCCTGCCCCACAAGCAACCCAAGGGGATGGCTGTGTCCATCCCCTCCCAGGCACCCAAGGCATGCAGGGAAGCACTTTGAGGTGTGACCTGGGCAGGGGTGGGGAGGTGTTGGTCCTGCTCACCTTGGCCTGGAGGTTCCTGAGGCAGATGACGGCCTCCTGGTACTTGGCCGCCGCCTGTGCAAACTCCCTGCGCAGGACGAGGCGGTTGCCCTCGCTGTGCAGCACAGGCACTGCTGCCAGCTTCTCCTCCTTGCTCATGGCCCAGGTGTCACGTTTGTACGCTGAGGGGTCCTCCACCTGCACAAGCAGGAGAAGCTGAGCAGCCTGTCCCAGCTGTTCCTGCTCTGGCAGCCATCCCTGCCATCTCCTTACCCGGAACAGCTCCATGATGAAGATGAGAGGCTGTGGTGTCCGCTGCAGCTCGTCCAGGTCATCATAGCCCGTGCTGTGGTAGTCAAACATGTTGCCCATGCCACAGCGGTGCTTCTGGCCTTCCAGGGGGTCCCGTCCCTCGGCAATCCTCCGCATGCCCCTGGAGACCAGGGCATACATGCCTGTGTGCTGCAAGGAGGGTAGCATCCCACTCAGCCCTGGGGGGCTGTCTGCACCCCCTTGTCTGGGGCAGCCTCCTGGCGCTGAGGCCAAGTGACACCCTGTGTTTGCACCAGACAAGGCTGGAGCATCTCTGGGATGCATGGTCCTGTGTCCTGGTTCTGCAGGAAAGAGGGAAGTGGGCATCTATGGACCCCTCACTCACAATGGCGTCGCACCAGAACTCTGCCACCTCCCCAATCCTCATGGAGCTGAGCAGTGTCTCCCAGATCTCCAGCTTGAACATCTTGCCCACGATGATCTCCATGGGCATGCCAGCTTCCCGGCTGTCATCGATCACCGTCCGCTCAAAGTCATCCTTCAGCGTCTGGAAGTGGAAGGTGAACTGGCCCAGAGAGAGCCCAGTGTGAGACTCCCCTCAGCATCCATGATGACTTCAGCTCTGGTGTCAAGCCTGCTCCCAGCACTGTGCTGATCTGACTGGCAGCTCTCCCTCCAGAGCAGGACATTATGCCTCCTGCCCACTTGAGACAGTAAGCAGATGGTCAATGTCTTAACATCCATTCATGCTATAGCTTGCTTCTCCCTATGGATCCCCCTTTATAACCCAGTGCAGGATGCTCTCACAGCGTGCCCCAGTGCTTGGTGGAACCCACAGTGATCAGAGGCTGGAGAATCTCCCAGGAGCAACCCATTGGCACATCTCACTCCTGCTTGGCACATGGCAGGAAAGGCAGATCCCACCAGGGCTGCTGAGCTCTAATGGTGCCAGGGGGAGGAGGTGTCACAGGCCCAGTGCAAGGTGAGGCCGTGGGCACTGCCAGCTGTCACTGTGAGAAACGTGGCTGCCTGTACCCAAACCAGCCCTTCCTAAACCCCTGTTGTGACAGCTCTCTCTTCCCCAGACCTGGAGCTGGGCTGTGAACCATAATGGGCAGGGGTGTCAGACTCACTCCCTCTCCCAGGGCTCTGGAGGAACAACCCAGACAATTTACCTTGCTCCCGTCCTGCAACTTCGGTAGCTCCCCTCGGCCTCCATGCAGAATCTTCTTTTTGACCCCTTCCACATTCAGCAGGTAGGTTTCCTCCATGGCTGCTCACAGATCACACGTACCCCAGCACACTAGAGCTCCACGTCTTCCTTAGTTGTCTCTTTCTTGACTACGTGGACATACACATCGTTTTCTAGGGCTCCTGCTGATCTTTTCCTTTCTGTGCTGGGGACAGAGCCTTCTCCCCCTGCCTGTGGGCTGTGAGGGGGGTGTCCCCTCCTAGCACACACTTGCTGAAGCCCCCGGTGTCCTCTGTTGCTTTCTGTAACCACCCTTCTAATCCTCTTCCACCCTGTCAGGTTAATCTGGGATTTGCCTGCATAGTCTGTGAGGAATTACAGGAACTCCCTGATCAGGGGGGCCTTGTTCCTCCCACCGAGTGACAGCATTTTTGACCTAGATCCACAAAGACCACTTTGGGGAAGGAGCACAGCAGTGCCCCACCAAAAGTGCCCAGGCATGGCTCCCTGCCAGGGGCTGTGTGGTTGGGAGACCACAAAGGAACAGACCACAGTTGAAAAGGAAACTTTATTAATAGAGTTTGGTTTGCAGATATAAGCATTCCTCAAACAAAAGAACAAACTCTTACCAGGCCACCGCCCATCAAGCCCAAGACTCAGTAGGATGCAGAAACCAGCACAATGCTGTCCCAGGGAGGGCAGTGCTGACTATTTACAGTAAATCTGTTGTTTTGGCTGGTCTCACAGGCATAGCCCAATTCTTTAGCTCCACCAGCCAAACCCAGCACAGTGGTTGTGAAATCAGCTCTGGACACAGACCCTCTACCACTGCCCAGCAGCACATGTGGCAGCAGAAGTGTAAAACTAAAGTCAAGACTTCAGTGTGGCAGGTGACCACCACTTCCAGCTCTGCTCACAAAGACCCAGGCCCACTCCTCACTTCTCCATGAGGGACTCTAGCTGCTCCTGCAGGGAAGCCATCTGGGGAGAGTGAGTGAGATGTTACAGTAAGGCACATCTGGAACCCCAGACAGCCCCAGCATTTTTGTGTTCTTGCATATATTCTACCCACACCAGTGGCTGCTCTCCTTGTGTGTTGCCTGGAGCTGTGCTTGGGCTCCTCTGGGACATAACTGGCACTGCCCATAAAGGATCTGAGAGTGAGAATCTCCTGCCTTGGTACCTGGCTGGAACAGAGCTGACCAGGTAGGAAATCTGCCACAACCCCTACAGCCACTGCCTTCCTTGTACATGGGTGCTAACAGGTTTGTGTTCTGTGTTTTACCCCAAGAAGCAATCCTGGCAGCTCTGGACTGACTGGACATGTTTTGGCTCCTCCAGAAGGAAGGCTGCAGTCAACCCTACTCCTTGTATCTCCTTCTGCCGTGGGAAGCTCCTTGCAACTACAGATGAGGTACAACCCCATCTGAACTGTAACACTGGAGTTCAGAGCTGCTGCTGTGGTAGAAGACTCGGGGAATTCTGTCAGGCCAAGCCTAGAACAGTGTTGTGCCCCAGTACCTCCCACTCCACTGTGGGAGTTTCCTCACCTGCTGCTTCTCTCGCTCTTCTTGCTGCTTGAACTCATCCAGCACGGCCTGGAGACGGGTCTGCAGGTACAGACATGGAGACCACAGTTACCAGTGTGTTCTCAACAGAATAGGTGCTGCTACAACGTGTCAAACAGTGCAGTGACAACACCCACTTATCTCCTCCAGTTTCACAGATCACTCTGCCTCCACGGGGAAATGCTGGAGTGTGTAGGGCCACAACTATTTTTAACCCAGCAGGCAAAGGCTCCTGGCTTCTCCAAAAATCAGCCTGCTGGATCTAATGGTGACCCAGCGTTAAGCAGGTTTGAAGAGACCCCAGGAGAGCTCTCACCTTGAGGGCAAGGTTCTCCACCTTCATGATGAGATCTTCCTGACGCTTCCTCCTGTCTTGAGTTTCCTGGAGTTTACTTTTGAGGTTGTCAATCTGTTTCTGGATGCCCATGGCTGGAAGGGAGAGTGAGCTCAGAACCAGACCAGCAGCAGAGCTGGGAAGCACAGCCTGCCTGGCATCCCAACAATTCTGCCACGCTCTGCTGGCCACCCACCGATCTGGTTGGACCCCTCATTCTCCTGCTGCTGCCCATCAGACTCATTCAGCTTGTCCTGCAGTTGTCTCTCCAAGTCTTCCTCAGTATCCATGATGTTCAGGTCTTCATCGTCGTGATGATCCCTCTCATCTTCATCTTCACTGCTGCTGCTGATATCATTAAATATCTCCCGCAGTTCATCGTGTTCTAGGTGGGGGCAAAAGAGTTAAAACACAGCTGATGACCTGGCAGTGCCCTTTGCCTGCCAGGGACCACATCTAGAAATAAAACAGCCTTCCCCACTGCACCTGAGGAGCCATGGCCTTGCTTGTGTCCTGACATCCCTGGGGAGGAGATGTCCAGGCTGGTGAGTGAACCATGGTTATCCACTTCTTTTGTTTCATCTTCAGCAATGACTTCCCAGCCTGACAGCAGGAACAGGTGAGTCAAGGGAAAAGGAGGAACTTGGAAGATGCAGTTGTGATTGAGAGGTTAAAAATGGCAGATCACTGCCACTCCAACCAGTCTGGCCTTGTCCCTATGGATACCCAGGATGAAACATCCCAGACCTCTTTTCTGATGACTTCTCCTCTACTATTTCAGTTCCTTCTCAGTACAACAGCACAGTCCACAAGAAAGGTCACCTTGAGGAAACAATAAGCTTCGAACAAGGCAAAGATGAAGCTCCAAAACTTCAGTTCCTCTCCTGTGTTTATCTCCCAGTGTCCCACATCCATGCAAAGCTCATCTTGTTTTTCCCAGAACCCCCAGGTCACACACGTCCTGTCCTACCCTTGAGTTTTTTCCCTACTAAAAGGATACGGACACTGACAGCCTCAGCATCAGTGCTCAGGAGACGCTTCACCTCTTTTTCCACATCAGGAGATTCGATATACTGGGCCAGAGAGGGGAAAGAGAACAGAGACACTGTTAAATGCCTTGTGCATGCTGCTGGTGCTGGCCAACTCCAAGCCTCCAACTCTGGATAGAGCACTGTTTTGAGGCCTTCTTATCTTCTGCTTTCTGCTCAGAATTTGCTCATATTTTAACTGTGAAGTAATTTATGGACACCCCTCCCAAAAAACAATCCATCTTTTTTGTACCTTGGTAGGTTGAGTGCTCTCACTTTTCTGCTTGTACTACGTATTTCATAAGAGTTTCTGTATCTATGCAGAAAGTCCTTGAGGTGTTGACGGTCAACTCAACTCAATTCAACTCAACTCCTTCCCATCCCACTCAAAAGAAGGCTTCATTTTTCACTTTTAAATTAGGAACTTTACTGCAGTGATATCAAATCTCTCCTGTGGGCTACAAGAATGTCTCAAGTAATTTGTTTCCCAAATGTCATGCAAAATCACACTCAACCCTGTTCCCAGAAACTGCAAAAGAGAGAAGAACAAGTCTTCCCAGCCTCAGGGTGCTGCATCTCCCCAACACCTTGCCTGGCTTGTGCATATGCACAGAGACAGTCTCTGAGCTCCATCTGTTGTCACTCCCCCAGCTGAAATGACAGTGGTACTATTTGGGGAAGGGAATGGGCCATGCATAAAGACAAGATTTAAGCTAGGAAAGCAAGAATGAGTGAAGCCTCATTTCCATGTGAGTCTTTCTTCCTTTCTTCTCTATGAGCAGGAGATGTGGTGTGGCAAGGCAGCCACAGGAATGAGGTCCAGCAGTACTCTGCACAGAGGATCTTCCCCTCAGAGGCATCTTGGAAAATACAGAGGAAGCACCTAAAGAAATGTTTAAATCTACTATCTTACCCTCAGCCTCATCTCGGGCTAGGAAAAGTGAACAAATGTTAAGAAAACACATGACTTCTGGGCCAATCACACCCATAGCTCTAATGTCTCTGCCCTCCTAGCCCTTGGGTATTTTATCTGCATCTGGGTGAGCAGCAACTCACCTTCTTCTTAGCTGTCTTCCGGAATCGCCGCTTCCGTACGTTTTTCAGAGGAAGAGTGACTGTGATAGAGGAAACAGATTTCTTGTGTCAGGCAGATGGCCCAGTGAGAGAAGCACGTGTCAGAAGGGAGAAGATCCCTTCTGCAACAGAGAGAGCCGTGGAAAGGAGCAGCAGCACTGCCAGCACCTGGCAGCTGTGAGCACCCTGCTCAGATACAGGGTATGGGGTGGAGGGGCTTGACACAGCCTCTACTCACTGCCATGGTTCCATATGAATTTCTTCTCTCTGTCCTTGTCCTTCTTCTTGTTTGCCTTGGGGTCAGTGGCCACAGTTTGCTCTTCCAAAGGTGGGTAGAGATCACCATCCACAGTGCAAACAAGCATCTGTAATCCCCACATGAACACCAGGATGTGAAGGAACAGTGATTTCCCACTGCATGTTGTGAGCCAAAGGGAATCAGGGGCACAGGGTGTGGGAAACACAGCTGCACCCCCAGCTCAGCTGGATACAGCAGCAGTTAAGCTGCCAAAAGGGCAATCCCATTTCACACTTCAGGAATGAGGTTTCTAAACACCAAGTGGAATGGGGAATTTTAAACTGCTAATACTGTAAGATACAGGAATTGGGTATATTATAATAAGTGTCCAGTTGCCAAAGTGTATAAGGGTTTTCCTGGAGTGGAGAACAATGAATTAAGCTGTTGGTGCAGGAAGGAAGGACAGTTCATACCTGGCAAATATCTGCTGTCTTGTAGAAGGTTTTCTTGTCAATGGTTTTTAAGCTCTCGATGATGCAGGGCAGATCCACCAGCTTGGCTGCCAGTGGCACCCGGTCCACACGGACAATCCCATGGCGCCCATCCGCTGGGGAGAACCACGGGACAGGTCAGTGTTGTGGCACAACAGCCACCCTGGGCAATAGAGCCCTGGGCAGCAGGGACTGCACAGGACAACACATGCAAGTGGCACAGCTTCACCTGTGGACAGGCAGAGGGGCCTGGAGCAGATGCCCTGGTCCTGCTCACTCACCGTGCAGCTCAATGGTGAGCCTGTCCTTCAGGTTGACATTCCCGGACTGGACTGCTCGCCGCACAGTCGAGGCATATTCCTGAGAAGGGAATTCTTCAGGAGCGGGTGTGCTTCCTCCAAGAATCACCAAAGGCTTCTGCCCAACCTACCTAGCTTTAAACACCTGCCATCCACATGCTGGACGGCAACTGCAAGACCCAGGTGAACTGCACCCTCCTACCAACACCACGTTAACCCCGTGGCTCCACTGTTGCCAGTGCTCTCCATACCCCTGGCACGACATAGGTGACACTGGTGTGAGGTCCCTGACAGAGACACCTGCCACAGCTCCACAGAACTGTGGGCAGTTAGAGCTCCCTTCACCAAGCCCTTGTGGTCTCAGCAGGACACAGTCTCACAGAATCCCAGAATAACTGGGGTTGGAAGAATAGATCATCCAGTCCAATCCCCCTGCCAAGGTAGGGTCACCTGAAGCAGGTGATACATGTACGCATCCAGGCGGGTATGAGATGTCTCCAGAGAAGGAGATTCCACAACCTCCCTGGACAGCTGTTTCAGTGCTCTGCCACTCAATGGAAGGTTCTTCCTCATGGTGATGTGGAACTTAGTGGTGCCTTAGTTTATCATCCTGTCGCTGGGCACCAGAAAAACAGTCTCAGCTTTAAGCACCTAACAAACAGCAACGAGGGCACTTATAGCCACTGCAACTAAAGACCAATACTTGTTATATGCTCTAACCATAAAGAAAGGTCCTCCCAAACCCTCTAGGTTGTCTCTGAGCCTCCTGCTCTGAGTGGCAGGAGCACATCTCTAGGAAAGGCCGTGGAAAATCCGCTCAAAAGGGTGGGAATGGCTCCAAAACACTCAGCCTGCTTCCACATCACTTCCCAGACCCGCAGCTTCCCCACTGCCTTGTGAACCCCCCCTGCAGCCGGGGCTGGCCGGCAGGCCGGGCTGAGCCCGGTATGACCCGGCGGGGATCCGGACCGAGTCCTTCCCGGACCGAGCCCTTACCGGCGGCAGCCGCAGCACGAACTGGCTCTCGAGCTCGTGCGGAGCATCGTCCTTGCCCTTGCTCATCCCGCCTCCGCCGGCTCTGCCACCAATACGCCGTCACCTCACCCTCGGGAAGGCTCCTGCACGGAGCCCCCAGCCCAGCACGGCTGGCAGAGCCTCCCCCAGCCCCGCTCCTCTCCCGGGCGGGCCCCGCCCGCTCCGCGGAAGCCGAGCCCGGCGCACCGCCCCTTCCGCTCCGTCCCTTTTCCCGTTCCCTCTCCGTCCCCGTTCCAGCCCCGCTCCGATCCCCATTCCAGTCCCGCTCCGCCCCCGCTCTATCCCCGCTCCAGTTCCATTCCCGCTCCAGTCTCATTCCAGTCCCGCTCCAGTCTCATTCCAGCCCCGCTCCATTCCAGCTCCAGTCCCGCTCCATTCCAGCTCCAGTCCCATTCCAGCCCCGCTCCATCCCCGCTCCGCTGGCCATGGGGGCCGGGTTCGGCGCCGGGCTGGGGCTGGCCCTGGCCTCCAGCGCCTTCATCGGTGGCAGCTTCGTCCTGAAGAAGAAGGGGCTGCTCAGGCTGTGCGGCCGCGCCAGGGCAGGTACGGCCGCTCCCAGGCGCTGTCTCCCCCGAGGGTCGTGGCAGGAATTCTGTTTGGCTTCATCCGAGGTCTCTCCTTTGTTTCCTCCGCACTCAGGGCAAGGAGGGCACGCGTACCTGCGAGAGTGGCTTTGGTGGGCAGGGCTGCTGTGCAGTAAGTACTACGCTCAGACTGTGGTAAGGCGCACTTATGGGATCACGGAATGGTCTGGGTTGGCGGAGACCCTAAAGATCATCTCGTTCCAACCCCCTCCCATAGGAACACCCACTATCCCAGGTTGCTCCAAGCGCCGTCCAGCCTGGCCTTGAACACTTCCCGGGATGGAACAGCCACAGATTCTCAGGGTAACCTGTGCCAGGGCCTCCCCACCTTCACAGGGAAGAATTTCTTCCTGGTATCTTACCTAAACCTACTCTCTTTAAGTTTCAATCCATTCCCTCTTGTTCTGTCACTACGTGCCCTTGTAAAAAGTCTCTCTCCCTCTTTCTTGTAGGCTCCCTTCACATATTGGAAAGCCACAATTAGGTCACTCTAGAGCCTTCCCTTTTAAGAGTGTGTTCCAGTCGCTTTCATACTTTGTTAATACAATTTTTGTTTGACTGCTTGAGTTTTATCCAAGTTTCTGATGATGATGTTGATCTCATTGTAACTAAGCTATTCTAAAGTCTCATGCGCTACCAAGTTTCTCTGCTAAGCAGGAGCTGAGGAGCTGGTTTAGCTGGTTGGGTTAAAAGTTTCTGAAGTGGCCTGCCCTGAGGATGTAGTGATTATGGCACATCCAGCACCGTGTACAGCAATTTCAGCAGCTTTACTTCAAGCTTCTCAATGTTAAGAATCACGTAACTGATTTACCCTCTAAAAAGCTGTAAAAGCTGTTCCAGGAAAAGGACAGACACCTTTCAGCTTTGTGGAAGTTATGAAAACACTTTCCTCTGGTTGCTGCTCACTGTAGAGGCACATGTGACTAAGGATCACTGTGCATAACACTGAGCCTTCTCTTCCCAAGAGAACCTGTGTGGGGCTTCTGCTTGTTCTTGCTAGTGCTGTTCTTCCCTGGTTGCTCAACATACCTCAGAGAAACAGGATGCTCAGGAGGAAACTGAGGCTTTTCTGACTACACTCAAACTTGTATTATGGTGAATTGCATCCACTTCGATATTCACAGGAGTTTCTCTTGCAGTGGGAGTTGGAGAAGCCGCAAATTTCGCTGCCTATGCCTTTGCCCCTGCAACACTGGTAACTCCACTGGGTGCTCTGAGTGTCCTTGTTAGGTAAGCAGCTTCAGAAACAGCCTCACTTCACCCACCAGCCCTTAGTGATGGCAGTTGCTCTGCTGTCTTCCCTCAGGTATCCATTTCTTGTCCTAATTGGTTTTGGATGGTTTGGTTTTCTTTGTTTTTTCAGTGCAGTTCTGTCTTCCATCTTCCTGAATGAGCAGCTGAATGTTCACGGGAAGATTGGCTGCATCCTGAGTATCCTGGGCTCCACTGTGATGGTGATCCATGCTCCGCAGGAAGAAGAGGTTTCCAGCCTGGAGTCAATGGCAGAGAAGCTGAAAGATCCAGGTACTAAAGGATTCCTGGTGACTTCAGAGTAATGACAGTAGAAGATGGGATACAACTTGTATAGATTGCCCTTGGAAAGGGCTGAACTTAATGGTAATTGAGCTATTTTTTGTTCTGCACACCCCACTGGAATCATTAATAGTTACCAAGTAGGCTGGTGATTTTGCTGTCTATGAGGTACAGATGCAAAAAGTGAGGAGCAGGGAAATGAGGTGCAGCTGTCAGGAGCAGGGAGTGGCCTGTGGCAGTGCCAGAAATTGCAGGGAGAATTCCTGTATATAAGGGTGGTAGTGGTGTGGCTGAGAGAAGACAGAGGAGGAAAATTCAGGCAGAAGAATTCAAGGCAAAAGAATTCAAGGAGTTATGCCCAAGATCAGGTAGTCCTGGTATTTATGTTAGAGGATGAATCAAGTCGCATGCATATGACGTAGGCAATAGTACAAATGGCAGAATAAGCCAAAAGAGATGGAGGAAGGAAGCATAAGGAGAAGAGCAAAGCAGAGTGACAGGTAGATGTTGCTGCTTATTAGGGGGATCACTGGCAGAGCATTCCTGTGATGTGGCACTTTCGTTTTTATCCCACCAGTCTGCAGAGTTCAGACACAGCTTCCCAAGCCTTCTGTCACCTTCCTGGGCCTCCTGCTGGACTGGTCAAAAGCTCCTCAGCTCTGTTAGTGTTGTGGAGCGTGGTTGTGCCCCGGTCCCTCTCAGCAGACTACATCCCCAACAGCCTGACTTGTGATCACACTGTAATGAGCTGTTGTCATCTCTGCAGCTTTGCTCAGGCTTTCCAACCCTGTTCCCTTCAGATGGAGGCCCGAAAGGTTGATGGGGCACTTAGCTACCTGTCCTCAGTCTCTACTTGCTGTTCAGTCATATCCATCACTGGTGTTGCTGTGTTCTGATGGGAGTTCTTGAATTTTTCTTTCTCCAAGGATTTATTGTATTTGCTGTGTGTGTCCTGGTGAGCTCCCTTCTGCTCATCTTTGTGGCTGGACCCCGTTATGGACAGAGCAACGTCCTGGTTTATGTTTTGGTCTGCTCTGCCATTGGCTCACTGTCCGTATCCTGTGTCAAAGGCCTGGGGATTGCCCTGAAAGAATTGTTCTCTGGGAAGCCAGTCCTGAAGGAACCCCTGGCCTGGGTGCTCCTGGTGTGTCTGGTGATCTGCATCAGCACGCAGATCAACTATCTGAACAAAGCCCTGGACATTTTCAACACCTCTGTGGTCACACCCATTTACTACGTGCTGTTCACCACAGCAGTCATGATGTGCTCAGCCATCCTCTTCAAGGAGTGGCAGCACATGGTGCTGGACAACATCATCGGCTCCATCAGTGGCTTCCTCACCATCGTGTCCGGCATCTTCCTCCTGCACGCCTTCAGGGACATGCCCTTCACCCCCACCCTCCTGCCCCTCTTCCTGCAGCCAGGCAGGGCAGACCCACACCTGCCCTGGAGCAGTGCAGACAGACACCAGTCCTGTCAGCACCAGCCTCTGCTGCCCTCGGAGGATAAGGGCTCTCAGAGTGCAGAGGAGGAGGAGGAGAAGTGAAAGCAGGTGAGGAAGCATCTGAACTGCTGGCTTCCTGCTCCCACTGCCAAGGCTGAACGTGCTGCTGCAGGAGCAGAAGCTGAGTTACCATCTGCCTGCCCCAGGCACCACCACACTGACAGGAGGCTGACAGGGCCAGCAGCCTCCTGTGGCTACAGAAAGGAGTCCTGGGAACTGCCCAGTTCCTGGCACCCTGTGCTTCTTCATTGTTATTTTATGTGAAGAATTGATCTGCCCTCATCAGGACTCAGACCTCGGCTGTGCAGAGAGAGAGGCCTGCAGCACTAACACAGTGCTAACCCTGACTCCATGGCAGATCACACATTTGGGGAGGCTCACGCTGTTTTTTAAAACCAGAATTAACAGTTACAGAATTACCTAACATGGTGCTAAGGTTATGCAGAGAGAAGATGGATGTCTGGCTTTAAAGGTGACATACAGAGAGTATTAATGCAAAAATTCCTCTATCAAGTACTTGATTTTGCTCACTCTGCTAGAATTTATTTACAGATTCACACCAAAAAAAAGAATACAGCCCAAACTGGGAAACTTCAGTGGTGCTGCCACATGCTGCTGTAGCTCTTACAGAGGGACCAACCTCTTAATGCAACGTCTGCTGTGCAGGTTGATGAAGCTTCCTGTGTTCTATTAAAAACTGATCTGTTCAGTTACCAAGTGGTGAGTGATACATTTATACCAAGAGCTGCGTGAACACTGGAAGGCATGAAGGATCACAGGGATAGAGAGAACTCTGTGAGTGCTCCAGAGAAACTCAAGTTACGACAGGAGAGGGAATCACCTACTCTGGGAACCTAATCCTTAGCTACTGAGGTAAGTTTCTAACAGGTAACTAGACAGCTGTGTCCTCACTGACATGGGTTTACATCTGCAATAGCTGCTGAACACATCCTGAGTTTGTTCCCAGAAAGGCTGCTGGCTACAAGCCACCCACAGTAGGAGCTCACACGCTTTGTCCAGCAGCCCCTGCAGTGGGTAGTGTGCAGAACTGCTTTACCAGGCTCCTGTGTAGAGCTTCAGACCACTGTCAGTGTTATTCCAGGCTTCCCAGAGCCCTGCAGCATACAAACACTGCTGAAATGCTGCCTTCCCAGAGACCTGATCAGTAGTTGGTTGTTTTTCCAGTTTGAAGCTCCTCTTTGTGTCCTGGGGGCAGAGGTCTGGAAGACACACCCAGAGGCCTCTCACCAGTGACCTCCACACGTGAAGGTGCACAAGGTTATAAAGCAGCTGGTTAGTTATTCCCTGCATTTAGTCTCTCTAAAGGAACGACTCTCCAGGACAGCAGGAGCTGTTGACCTTCTGAGGAAGAAGAGGAAAGGCCACAGCCTCTCCCAGAAACAAGTCTGATTCATGAGACCAAATTAATTGAGCAACAAATCAGAATTCAGAAAAGGCCTTCTAGCCAGAAGACAGTTATGCCCCCTTCCTACTAATTTTGCCATAAATAGGATCACTGGGAGGGAGAGAGAGTGACAAGAAGGCCAGATTTTCCATTCTCAGCAGTGATCTGAAAAAATGAGAATCTCATATTAAAAATTGACCCAGTTAATATTTATTACATTTATCCAGGGAAAGCAGTTAATGGAGCAAGTCAGCATCGACAGAGTTGTGCTGCAGTGTGAAAATTGGTCACCTGGCCGTATGAATGATCTACCTACAGAAGCCTGGAAGTATTTTCCAGCAGTGGCACTGCCTGGGATGATCACTGTTCCCAACATGCTCTTCCTGCTCAGGGTGCCTGTCCCAGCCTGCGCAGCGCAGTGATGGTGCCCGGGGGCAGAGGAGGATGTGCCTAGGAGGGCTGTTTTGTGCAGCACTGTTTAAGGCAGCGACCGTGGGCTGGCCTCACCCAGAGCCAAGCTTCCCATCAGCGCTGGGAGCATCCGTGAAACGAGCATCAGCAGCCCTCTGCTCAGCCGAGGGGGCACATTCCAAACGATCCCTGCATGGCACCGGGGTCCCGGCACAAAGGTGGCCGCTGGCCCACGGGGCGGGGAGCAGCACCCCGACCTGGAGCGTCCTTGTGTCTGTTCTGGGCTCTCATCTGGCTGCAACTTCCCCGAGACTGGCATTTAATTAAATCCTAACCCCCCTCCCCCGAGCTGATCCTGGCTCCCTCGGGCAGCGGAGTGACCAGGACTGGGCATGGGCGAGGGCCTGGCCTGGCGGGGCCGGGTCCGGCTCAGTCGGACAGGCTCTCCGAGAAGGCCGACTTGGACTTCTGCGTCTGCTCCAGCCGGTTCAGGATGAACTGGCTCGTGTCGATGAAGCGCTCCACGCAGTTCACGAAGCACGTCTCAGCCCGGCTGTCCAGCTTGGGGCCCGGCTTGTCCATGCACTTCTCCTGCACACAGCGGGGTCTCCGTTGGTCCCGGGGGCACCGCAGCCCGAGCCCCCACCCCGCACCGGGGCCGTGCTTCCGGGCATCTCCAGCCCCCGGACGCGCTCCCCCCATCGGGATCCCGGTTCTCCCGGGACCCTGACCCCTCGGGACCTCTCCCCACGCGTGGCTCTCCCCGCCCCGCCGTTCCCGGAGAGCCGCCCCCTCCCGCTCTGTGCTCACCGGAGCTGGGGCTGCTCCCACGGCGGCTCCATTTTGTCCCCATCAGCCTCCTCCCCCCGGGGGACAAAGGTCTGCGCGGCCTCCCAGCCCGCCTTGCCCCACCATCGCGACCGGGTCACCGGAGACGGCCGGCCTGCCCGCCGCCCGTACCCAGCACAGCTCGGTCATCTGGTGCACCAGCTGCTGGAAGCGCTGCTTCTGCGTCTCCACCTCGATGAAGCGCTGGAGCTGGGGGTCAGCCCCGCCCAGCCCGGCGGCGGACGGCGCGTCCATGGCGCTCCCGGTGTCGCCCCGGTCCCTCCCGGTGCCGCCGCGCCGCGACCTTCACGTGCCGCCGGTACCGCGCCCGCCCCTTCCGCCCGCGCCGCGCGCGCGCGCGCGCCCGCCCGCCGCGCGCCCCCTGCCGGCGGGGCGGAGCGGCTGCAGCCCGGGAGGCCGTGGAACCTTTTTATTGTCCCGGACCGCACCGGGGTGTGGTGGAGCCCCGGGGCGGTGATGGGGCTCCAGGGCGATGATGGGGCTCCGGGGTGTGACGGCGCTCTGATCATGTGATGGAGCTCCCGGGATGTGATCGAGCTCCCGGGATGCAGTGGAGTTCCAGGGATGCGATGAAGCTCTGAGCACGTGATGGAGCTCCGGGGATGTGATGGAGGTCCCGGGATGCAATGGAGTTCCAGGAACGTGATGAAGCTCTGAGCATGTGATGGAGCTCCAGGGTGCTGATGGAGCTCCAGGGATGTGATGGAGCTCCAGGGCACTGATGGAGTTCTGGGGATGTGATGGAGCTCCGGGGATGTGATGGAGTTCTGGGGATGTGATAGAGCTCCGGGGATGTGATGGAGTTCTGGGGATGTGATATAGAGCTTCAGGGATGTGATGGAGCTCCGGGGATGTGATGAAGCTCTGAGTGTGTGATGGAGCTGTGGGCGCAGCCATGGGGGTTCCCCAGGATCCTACATGCCCGTGCCATGTCCGTGGCAACTGTACCGCGGTACCTTCCGGTGTGCGGGTCTGTCCTGCTGGGTAGTGCCAGCGCTGGGCAGAGGTCAGCAGGCAGTACCCGCGGTCAGCACTCCTCATCAGCGATGTCCAGGATGCTGCCCAGCAGCGCAGTGAAGGTGGGGCGCTCCTCAGGCTTCTGTGGGGTGAGAGGGAAGCCTGGCTGGAGCCCATGTCTGCCCCAGCCATGCTCTGGGGAGCCCTGTCACCCCGCCAGGGTGGCTGGAGGTGTGACCAGGGGTGAAAGGCACGCACCTCACGCCAGCAGCTGTACATGATGGCATAGACCCGCTCCGAGGCCGCCTGCGGCCGGTACAGGCGCAGCCCTTGGATGACGTGCTCAGTTGTCTCACTGTTATTAAACCTCTCATAAGGCATCTTTCCCAGGGAGTAAACTTCCCACATCAGGACGCCTGTTGGAGGGAACAGCAGGGAGAGCTCATGGCATTGGACCACCTGTACCTGGCTTGCAGAACAGTCCCAATCTCCAAATCATCAATGCTGTGCCCTTACCAAAGGACCAGACGTCAGACTTGCTGCTGAACTTGCTGTACAGCAGCACTTCAGGAGGAGACCACCGCACTGGAAACTTGGAGCCCATGGAGCTTGTGTACTCATCATCTAGCACGTACCTGCAGCAGGAAAATGGATCAGGGTGCCTCACTTGGATTTCACATTTCGCTCCTCCACACAACTGACCAAGCCCGAAAGGAATGAGCAGCTCAGAATGACCAGAGGTTGCAGCTCTGCATGGGTTTCAGCAGTGAGTGTGTGTTGGTCAGGATTGCAGAAGAAGTTGGCTGACTTGGAAGCACAGCACAAAAAAGGGGTTGTGGAGAGAAAGCTGCAGGCGGGAGACTAGAGGTAGGGGAAACAAGATGCAAAGAGAGGGGGGAAAAAGGCCCAAGGGAAGTAAGAAAGGGATGGTGGAAAGTGGAGAGGCAGAAGGTTGAGCCAGGTAGATGAAATGGGAAGACAATGGGAAAGCAGAGCTGGAGGGTGGTGGGGACAAAGACTAAAGTGTAGAATTGATGGAAGGAGAAGATGAAGTACTGAGACCGGAAAGTGACACAGACACATCTAGCAGACCTGGAAAGACCAAAATCTGACACTTTCACGATTCCTTGGTCATTCACCAAACAGTTTCGAGCAGCCTGTGAATGGAGAGATGGAGGCAGTTACTTCTACCTGCTCTTGCCTCTCCCATCCCCCTGTAGCAGGTGAACTTCATCTCATCCCCACCCACTGAACACTTCAAGTGTTCACACTGCAAGTTCACCTGGACTGGGCCAAGCTAGAAAGTCCTCAGCAGAGAGCAAACGAGGCCTCCAAGCATCCTATTTATCTATGTAGGGGTGACTTCCCGGGTGGGATTTGGCCTGAACAAAGCAGCCACAGCCCTACCAGGTCTCTGTGCAGGAACTGCTTGGATTCCAGGTACTCCATAGCTTCACAGACATCCTTGCACATCTCCAGCAGCTCAGCTGGCTGGAACCGCTGCCGTGTTTCCCTCAGGAAGTTCAGGAGGCAGCCGTTGGCCATGTACTCAGTGATGATGAAGATGGGACGCTGCTTAGTGCAGACCCCGTAGAGCTGCACCAGCTTCTCATGAGACAGGTTCCTGTGTTGGGGACATAGGCAATTCTGAGCATCTAGAAAGCCAGGCAGCAAAGGAAGCACCTGTGAAAAAGGAGAATTTGGGAAGGGAAGGTGCTTCTGGCCCAGCTGGCAGTGGAAAACCTCCCAAGGAATCAGCACAAAATCAGTGGGAACTTGGATGCATTTTGCAGAACATGGGACTGCGCAGGACTGACCCTCCACACCTCCCAGGAGTGCAGCCATTCTGGTTAGGAGCATCCAGCACTGACCTGCATGGTGCTCACCACTTACATCATGACT